CTGATCAATGGCAGCATAAAATTCTAGTTTTCAAGTATTTCATTCTGATCTACTTTAATTCTGCCTATCTTTATTTAGTTCATTCTTCACGCTGGTATGTAGTACATTCCAGTAATTGCTTGCCAATTGACACATGTGCATGAGTTGAAATGTACCATGTCTGAACGGAACTGCTGACACATTGTACACCAACACATATTCTAGTGTTGACATATGGATAGACCAATTTTTGACTATGTCAATTGCATAGTGTGGATTTCAGTCATGCCGAAAGAGTACTAATATGCCCTCGTGCCATGGAACACTTTAATGCATTTTTTATTACATGATCTATTACTTCTTCATTACATAATTCGCCAATCATATCTAGAACTACATTATCATGTATCTGCCTGTCATTTCATAATTTTCATTAATATGTTTAAACTGGTCCTATTCTTAAGTCTGCTCAGTCCCTAGCAGTTGAAATCTACATTATTGAATTTAAATGTGTTTCAGTGGTAAAAATGAATATCATGATTAATTGAAAAATTACCCATCAAGGCAAAAGCACTATGGAGTAGAAATATGTTCTGACTATAGAGTACAAACATAATAAATCCATAATATATTCTGACTATAGAATATAGAAAAAGGTGGTACAGTGTCTACATCTATATCAATCTCAACAAAGAAAGAAGTCGAGAAAAAAACAAGGGAAGTATCTTGTTCCTTTGCAATCCGACAAATAACAAGGCGGTACAGTGGCCAAGGAATTGTAGAAGCCAACTCTTGAAAGTTGTTCTCAAGGCTGACTTGTTTTATAGGTATCGTATAACTGAGGGTGTAAATCTGCCATTTCGGGTGTTGCCAACAATCAAAGAACTGGGTAGAACAAGAATGGAAGTAAATGTTAAGGTTAGTTTGATGCATATTGCTGTTGTAGACTTATGCTTTCCATGTGTTCTAAACCATAATTAACAGGTTAAGAGTGTCTTCGGTGCCAAAATGTTTGCCCTTGGAGTTGTGGTAAAAGTTCCAGTTCCTAAGCAAACTGCAAAAACTAGTTTCCAAGTGACATCTGGTCGAGCCAAATATAATGCTTCTATAGACTGCCTGGTGTGGAAGTAAGTTTTATCTAATACTCTAACTTTGTCTCATATTCTTTGTAGCTCTATGCTTGTCTTTTGTTGCATTTTGACTAAAATTTTAATTTTATTCTATAAACTGATGAAGCAAATGCAGATGATGTCTAAAGACACAATTGTTCAAACTGCCTGGCATAGTTTTTCGTTTTATACTCACCGACAGAGATGATTGTTAGTTTTACTTAATTTTGTTACCTTATTTGGTTGGTCAACTTTCTATTGACAAGTAACTCCTTAGTTTCTATGAGCAGCTCAACATTGTCCTTGTCAAGCTTATCTGTTTCAAAGAGAGAAAATATATTAGAAGAATACACTAGGAACAGCAGATTTTTTGGCTTGTAGTGTGACTAGTGCTATACACCACAACAGGGCTCAGTTATGGGAAAAAATCTTTACTTTTGATCACAAACTGTTGGAAACTTTGGCTTGTAGATACGAGACAAGTTCTGTCAACAAGAACTAGATAAGTTGTAGCCACCAAGTAGCATTAGTTTCATTGCAATCTCATATCTTGCCTAAATGTGTCATGGCTAGGTCCTATCAACATTATTTAAGCGGTTAGACTAACATCGGATTGGTAAATTTTATCAAGTCTCCGTTGACTGTCCTTTTTGCTCCATATTCAACTATTGTTGATAAGGAAAAGCTTATCCTTGATTATTTTGTTTGATTATTTGAAGGTTTTTTTATTTGATCATTGTTTTGTCATGTTGTGGCTAGTATCCTTTCTTAAATGCAATATTTTCAGATTCTGCAGAAGTTAACTACATATTGAATGTTAAACTTGCAGGATCAGAAAATTTCCTGGACAAACTGAGTCAACAATGAGTGCAGAGGTTGAGTTGATTTCAACCATGGCAGAAAAGAAATCATGGACCAGACCACCCATTCAAATGGAATTCCAGGTTCTCTCCCCCAACCCCCAAACATCTCTCTCTCTCTCTCTCTCTCTCTGGTACTGATCTGAAGGCCTTGGTCATGGTGTCAGTTTTCGTTTACCGTCTGCTCATACGCGTTATTAATTAATGTAATTATGTAACTATGATGCACCATAGAACACTTTCCCTCTTTCAGGCTTGACAAGATTCACAAAACGAGGCATTTCGGATCAATTTCATCGCATGGGGTTGACAACCAATATTGACCATATTAGATTACTTGTGCCTAACCAATTGCACCCAAGCTTAGGCGTAGTTCAACTAATGCGCCTTGTGTTAAAATCAACACAAGTTATACCTCTTTGTACCCATAACAACTGATGCGCCCAAGGTGGGCACTTGTGCATGATGTGTGCACCCAGGACAAAAAGTATAGCATCTCTTTTGCTTGCCATGCACCCTTCCCCGATGCCCCCCCAAAACTTATGTGTGATGCGTCAAAGGTCAAGAAAGTGTTTGAAGCATCTCATTTTATGTGGTGCGTCTGTTCAAGACAAAAAAACATGTGACATATCTGATGTGGCCCAAAGCTTCTTTGTGTGTGATGTATCCACCCTAGATAAAATAATCGAAAGAGCCCATCCAAGGCATCCCTTTTATGCACTGTGCATTGCATCCTCTCATCACAAAAAAGCATCTGACACTTTTGATACAACCAAGCTCATCAGCCTGATGCATTCACCTAGGACAAGAAAGCAACTAAAATGTCACCGAATCATTTTTAATGTAGATTACAATAGTTGAGATCTCAAAACGAACATTATGTTCTTGGACGAACAAACCCTAGTCAACACCTAGTGGACATGCCATGTTAGCTTCTGGGGATGACAAAGAGCCTACATGACACCTAAAGGAAATATTCAAATTGACACTATATATGAAATAGTCTCTTCAGGTATGCTTTCTTTCCAGATTTAACAAATTAATGTTGAACTCCTTATGCTTTTTATACCAGCACTGAACAAACATGGAGCGATTTTGTTGGACACAAACCCAACCCTGAGGTAGTCTGTTGTAGAAATAGACTGAAATGTGAGATAAGGCGATACAAATATTTTCTACCATCAAGAGAAATTTTTCTCGTCAAGTCAAAGAACTTCCTTTGCGCTTCCAAACATGACAACACTCAGAAAAATAGGTTGGGATCAGTTTTGTGACATTTGGTTGATGATCAAAATTGAGAATTAACCGTATCAGTTTATAATCCACGAATAGGCTACTTGGTGGTTCAAACAGGATCCCGAGGATGGATATATATTTCTATCCTTATGTTTGCTCCCATTTATGATAACTGGATATGTTGTATGACATTTTAATTTGTGCAAGATATTCTCTCATTAGCCACTCATTTATCCAAATTAGGTTAGGCAGTTACGTTCTGTATCGAACTTGTGGGTTGCCATATACTCTCAAATTTATCTGCTGATTGTTCTCTAGAAATGGATTCACATATATATATATATACATGCACATATGTACATATATATATGTATCTGTGTATTGATATCTTGATTCTCTCAGGTCCCAATGTTCACTGCATCGGGTCTACGTGTCCGCTTTCTCAAGGTACAAAATGGAGTCATGTCGTTGGTGTAAACATGCTACTGTAGATTACCAAACTAAATCTTTTTGTAGGTATGGGAGAAGAGTGGGTATAACACGGTCGAATGGGTTCGTTACATCACGAAAGCTGGATCGTATGAGATCAGATGTTAATCTGCTTCCAAACCAATATTTAAGACTTATATTGGAAGGTTGCGGAAGGTTGCGGATGACCATAAGAGCTTCATCATCAACGAGCAGTGGTGTCTGACTTGTCACTGAACCAACATCCGCGGTTTCATAGAAAAGGTTGTGTTTGTTCTTCGTCTGTGTTTCTGTGTTGCCATTTTTTGGATGATTATGTTTCTATTGGATACTCGTATCAATTGCAGCTTGGTATGAGGCTCAACTCGGATTACTGATCTGTTGTCTACGATCCCAGTTGACAGTGCTTTGCTCTTTTTGGTAGAACACGACTTTTCCTGACACCATATCGGCTCGACATGTTCTTGTTGGGTTAACATGTTTCGGTCAGATCCATCGTTTCGTCGGATGCATGTGTCCGATGTGGGCTGTTGATCTGTTGATTGATCAAGTTTGGATCAGATCTAGATGTGAAAATTGTCAACTTCAGATCGAACTTATTTAACGGCTTAAATAAGGCAAAACCCCACCAACTTCCATCTTGGAAAAAAAAAGGCAAAAAAAGAAGAAGAAAATCTTGAAACGTCATCTTATATATGCACATCTACATGTAGAACATACCTGTAATGATAGTATGTGAAAGGAGTTGCTTCAGTCCGTATCGATATATCGAGTGATCATAATTGTACCAAATGTATTAACACATGATACATAAGATATATTAATATATCACTTATAAGATATATTAATATATCGCTCATATTAATCTCGTCAGATTAATACATATCACTCAGTACGCTTATTTCCATAGATGGAAAAAATGAATAAATTGTTGTATAGCATTAAGGCTATCTCTGTTGAGAACAAAATTTGTTTGCAATCAAGGAAAAAAGAGGATTAAAATTAATTGCATAATTTGGGATTATTTAACCAAAACGTTTAGAACCCAAGCCATAAGCAGCATTTGTTTGTACCATACAGCAGCTTCTTTCTAGCGTGTAATTATTCACAGAATAATAGCATAGCTTAATAAAATACCTGTGCCTTCATCAGGGATTTGGCTATCGAATAAAAAGATTGATGTCCAGAGTAGACAAAACAAAATTTACACTTTGCACTAAATCATGTATCAAATATTTTTTTTTACGGTCGATGATGTTGAGCAGAAAGCAAGCTCATTATGGAAGTCTAATAGTGAATACAATCTTGATCGTAATACCTTAAACAATCAATTTGTAAAGAATATATGTAGAAATCAGATTAATTTAACAATGTATAATCAAAATATTCGGCAATCAGACAGTAATGGTTGAAGCAGCTACTACTAGGTCGAAGAAATGTCGATTTGGATATCAATTCAGTCTTGGATGTTGCAGACTTCAATATGATGTGTGGAGTCGTCTCTCCAGATCGAGCGTATTCCACTCTTAACAAGAGTAACATAATCTCCTTTCCTTAGATACCCTCCGTTCTGTATCATTGTATACACCATAGAATGAGCAACACATAACTTGATAAATGTCGAGAAAGAGAAGAACATCAAAATCGATATATACAGTACCATCAAATGCTTTATGGCCCTAGAGAAGGTCTCTTCAGCATCATCAGAGAACTGCATATATAAAGGCAGCACGCCTTGGTACAGCGTCAACCTTTGTCCAACTCTTTCCCTGCCAAAAACCGATTAAATCCTTATCATGATAAGGTCAATTTAACAGGATAGAAGCCTCGAGAAAGCTTCTTCCGCAGATGTTATTTTTTGTCTTTCTGAACAATGACATTAACAGGTTCGGTTCATTTACACCTCTACTCGAAGTGATTTATCTTGCTAGTTCCTTCTTTACAAATGTTGAGATAAAATCTATAAAATCCAAAATAGAAAATAACTGTGATTTCAACCTAGAGAACTTACTCATTAGTAAATGCAAATATAGTTGAAGAAGGTCGATAGTGACTCAGAAGCACAGGCATCGAACCAGTTTGTGTGAAGACAATAATAGGTGTGCCAAGAGCATTGGCCATGGTGGTTGCATGCAACGCAAACATCGCACTCATGTGCCCTTGGGAAAAATCGCCACCACCTACATACTGCAACAAGAAAAAGAAATAAATGAATGCAACCATTAACATGAGCATCAAGTGGACCTTTAGAATTAAGGATGTTGATTTGATAGGAAAGTCACATGGACAACCAAAAAAACCTCAAGTAATTGAAAAACAGAAGTTGTCATTCACGACCAACATACTGCAACATGGAAATGAAACAGATGAATACAACCAACAATACGAGTATTAAGTGGAACTTTGAAACCTTGATGTTGACTTAATAGAAAAACAATATGGACATCCAAAACAAACCTCCTAAGTTAAGAACAGACTAGAAAAAGAGAAGTTGCCATTCACCTATTACATGGGCATGCTCACCTGGACAGCCTTGTCAGGAGTGTGGAGAGTGTCGTTTGACATTATGGATTCAGTTTTTGATGCCACATTGTGCATTACTTTAACAGCTTTCAATGGGTACCTAAGACCAGAAATCAACAAAATATTATTCAATCAAAATAATTGATTTGCAAGAATAAACAATAAAAGGATAAGTTGCTAGAGAATTATCCATGTCACACATTTTAAAATCACGTCGCGCAAACCTTTAGCAAAAAATTACTTATTGTATTTTGAATTTTACATCAAAAGGAAAAATCATGAAGTGATACTTTTAGCTTTTTATCACAACCCATAATTTAAAAGCCAATCAGCGTATACATTTTCACAACAGAAGATCCAAGTAACATTTTATTGTTTATTACAAACCTTGGATAACAATCAGACCTGTTATAGAATTACTAATATAATTAATTACTTACTTTCCATGAGCAGTTTCTCCTGATAGCATGATAGCATCTGCTCCTTCTTGGACTGCAATTGATATGTCAGAAACTTCTGCTCTTGTTGGAGTTGGATGGTTTATCATGCTTTCTAACATGTTCGTTGCTACAATCACTGGTTTCTGCATGCTTCTACATGTCTTAATAATCTCTTCCTGTAAAGACAGATTTAATTCATTTTTTTAAGAAACATGAGACAATAGATAATTGGAGAAAGAAAATACTTGCACATGAAGAACAATTTCTAAATCATAAAACTAAAGAATCTGCACAGTAGTCCTTGAACACAATTGGTCAGATGTCAGATTGTTGTACCTGGACAAACAAATGACTTAATTTCGTGTGGACAAACTTCATCAGACTTGAGAAAAAGCATTGATTGCAAATACAAATCTTAGTATCCAACCTGACCATTATGCCAAGTGGGGACGACCTAAAATGGTCCAGCTTTGAAGTATGGGTTTGAGTATGACAAATACAGAATAAAAGTCCAAACTTGTTATATTTTAAATTATAAAAATATTTATGTTTATAAAAATAAATTTAACAATTAGGAAGATATATTTTTACCTTATATGGTTATACCAAAGAAGTCCAAATCTAAATAGGTATAGAATGCAAGAATGAATTGGAGAGGCAATGTTGCAATTAACTTCCATCTTTGATTACAGTTTATCACAGACCTGCAGAGAGGGAACGTCCTCAATTGGAAGCTCAGCACCAAGGTCTCCACGTGCCACCATCGCCTACATATTTTTCCAAGAGTCATTGGATAGTACATAGGTACAAACTACTGACACATACAAATTGCATAAATGAATCTCCATGTAACAATTGCATAATCTGAACTATTAAAATATATACAGTAACAGAAGTAGAAACATATTATAAACACATGCAAAGGGGCATGAGAGCACAGACAAACACAAATGCATGTATAAATGAACCTGCAACAGCACAGGCAGGTATACAAGGACCAACCCATGTATATTGGTATTTCCACTTGCAAATAACAGGCAATCAAGAAGTGGCTTCCAACCTCTGTTTTTACAGTACATCTAATCGCTTTGGTGATAAAGTACCATAAAAGAAATAATCAGGAATGCCATTTTCCTCTTTGATGAAAAACCTTAAAAAAATACCAATATATAAAGTAGCCTGACTGTTCTAGTCAAACTCAAGCTTTCTCTACCAATCTATGCTAGAGCCACTTAGAAGGATTATGAATAAAAGGAATATAGAACCATAAATTTTAGAAAACTAACAATTCTGGTGTACTAGCTTGTTTAGTTCTTGGAGAAATATCACAATGACAGTTGCATTTTCTTTTCCCAGCATTTTATTGTCCAATAAGTTTGTGTCATCAAGAACAAACAAAAGTATAACAAATAATCATGTAAGCATTAGTGAAATCAATCAAAAACCTAAATAACAATAAAATTACTTACCCCATCTGAGGCTGAAATTATTGCCTGAAGGTTTGGAATTGAATCTGCACTTTCTATTTTAGGGATAATATGTATATCTGCATTGAGACCTTATAGAAAACAGACAAATAAATGAAATAAAATGAGTTGGTCACAAATAAATACAGGAAGACTATAGCATAGAGTCAGAAGCTTACTTCTGAGATAGTCATTTAGTTCATGAATTACTCTAGCATCTTTAACAAAAGAAACTGCAAAAAAATCAACCTGATTGTCCACACCAAACTTAATATCTTCCCAATCCTTCTCTGCAGGAACACCAGGAATATTAGAGAAAAATCATCAGAGACCACAATCCCCTAAATCTTTCATCAAATAATTTATCCTGAACATTTAGAAAAGAAAAGAAAATTATAGTTACCTGTAATGGATGGAAGTGTAGCACTTTTTCCACGCACATTTAAGTGGCGCCTTGATTTTAATTCTCCACCATCAATTACTTTGCATTTGACCATATCATGAGTCTTTGCTTTTACAGCTAATGACATCATCCCTCCTACATTAGCACCAAGGTTCTTGTAAAACTAATAGGTTTGTGCTGGAAGCTTGTGCACAATATTTGTATGTTAAACTGGTATAGTATTAATTATATGATAATGATCTATGATAGAAGAGGCTAGCCTCTAGAGATATAATAGTAAACCTTCTGGTACTGCATTTTTAGTACCCACAAGTCTCAGATTATGCAGCTAAAGTCAAGAAAATAAAGATCTAATCATACATCATTCCTCGCATGCACAGATGTTTATTGCACAAAAAAAGGTAATGTGAGATTCTGAGTAAGAAAACACATTTGAATATTTGATATCATATCTTTTTCAGTTTTCCTCCTAACATGAATTGCCAATTCATTTACCTATATACTTCCCAAACAAACAATCGTTATTTAACAGAAGCATGCTATTCTTTTATACAAGCCACATAGTAAAAACAAAACTGTATCAAGGTTATTCTTATGAACTTTAGTCAAGTACAACTAATAAAGTTAACTATCACATCGGCCAGTTTTTATTCAAGTTGCTATGAGCAATGTATAGCAAAGAAAATATGAATTTAACATAACAGAGTAAGGAAAAATATCGGTACTCACCATCCACCAAAATAACATCACCAACTTCAACATCATTCACAAAGTCGTCATAATTTACACTAACAGTATCTTCAGAATTAACTCCTATTTTGATGGTAAAGTTGAATGATTGACCTTCCTTAAGCAACACAGGTCTTAGCAAGTCTCCACTTCTTACCTCCGGACCCTGCATGAGAGAATATTGTGGTAAAAAAAAGTTATTTACAGGATAAGCTGACACGGCATATGTTCTTTACTAAGGATATTGTTTAAATTAATGAGAGTTTGTTTTGGATTTATTCTAAACATAAAGACTAACACATCTATCAAATGAAATTTTTAAAAAAGAAATAAATTTATAATTAATTTATGATGGATGAACGAGAAGTTCCTATAGTGAAAAAATTAATTTTCTTGAATTCATTATTCAGCAAGAACAAGAGATTAATGAAGATATCGTTAATAGGAGAAAAGTGGGTGAAGAAGTTAGGAGTATGTGCCCCCTCAAATTTAAAAAGAGATGGAGAATTTTATTGGCTATGTTTAACATACAGGTGATACATAAAATCAACCAAAAGCATATACGAATTTGATCATGTGACCGAGTGATCATATTCAAAAAACAAGAAGGTAAAAGCAAGAGACGTATTAGTGCAATTTACACTCGAGAATGAAGTATGTAAAGTATGCTTTGGAAACATTTCAAAGACAGTTCATGAAAATGCTATTAAGATGCCAAATGCTTAGAGAAATGCTTGTCATTATAAGATGTACCTTAGTGTCCAGCATTATAGCAATAATATTGTCTTTGCATTGGGCATTATATTCCCTGACCAAATCGATAATCTTCTGGTGCGACTCATGATCTCCATGAGACATGTTAAGCCGTGCAACATTCATTCCAGCCTCTGCCAATTTCCAGATCATTTCACGTGTATTCGTCGAAGGACCAATTGTACATACAATCTTTGTCTTCCTTTGAAAATCGGTCTCCATCTTTGCCTCTTCAACAATGGGAACACTTGATTGAATCCCATGCAAGACATTTAGCTTGTCCTGGATAAATTATAACCCGCCAGATTATCAGTGACAAGGAAACAGATTATTCAGTATAATATATATCTGTAAGCTAATTACAAGCGAAAAATGAAAAGTATAACTAATTACATATGTTGCTTGCACAACCGGGATAAATAGATTCCATTAATTAACTACTAACAGCCACCTAATCGAGTTGTCAACAGTTTTAGGGTGGATCCTTATAAGATCAATGCTGAATCTACAAAGAACGTGGAAAGCACCAATTGCGGATGGTGGAGATACATTATGAAGCTTCAAAGGATCCAAAAATAGGGTGCTATTTAGTCCTCCCTCTTCAATTATGACCATCTTTAAAAGCAGGTTTAAGTAACTCCTATGCATATCCCAACGCAGCGAATTCGTTAAGCTGGGTTTCTGATTTCGGCTGCAAAAGCTCCATCCCAAACCCTCAAGTCCTACCCAGTTGCATCATCGACTCTTGAAAGAAAGATCACAAGTCTCATGAGCAACCAACCAATCGTTTCCAAAACCGACGTCAAACGAGCATCAACTAGCAATCGGAAACCAAGACCCACCGAATTAACAGGCCTGTTGGAAGTGCCGATCTCCACGGTCCGTCCGTCGCGCTTCTCCGCGGCCATCAACGCCCTCACGGCGAGCCCCGTGCCAACAACATCTTTCCGCGCCGACCGCCACCGCCTTCCGGTTCCAAGGAACGTCCGGCCGGCGCGCCCCGTCGGGTTCCGCATCGCAATGCCACCGATCTCCATCGCCGCCGCCATCAGAAGCCGAGAGAGAGAGAGAGAGAGGGCCGTTCTACCCGTCCACCGCCGTTCGGCCTCCTCGTTCAGTTGGCGGAACGGACTAAATAAAGCTGACCAGAGAGAGAGAGAAGATCACAGCTGTCAAAAGGAAAAAAGAATGGAGAACTACGGACGGCCGAGATCTCCGACGCCCTCATACCTGGCGGTTCGAATAGGAAGTGTTGTTCGAGTTGGAATCTTGATGGACCAAGACGAGATCACAACCGTCAAAACAAAGATAGAGGTACTGATGGACGGCCGAGATCTCCAACTTGAGAGTTCGAGTCCTACTCGTCATGAACCAACGACTCCTGGTCTACTTATTCTTTGCTTGTCTGCACTTTCTTCATGCACGTGCTACCACGTGACATTGGCATACTTTGGGCAACGGATGAAAGGTGTTTGATGACGTCATCTTCACGTGGGCCCCCTCTCCCACGATATATATATATATATATATATATATATATATATATATATATATTCTAATGGACATTCAGACCACATCGATCTCTCTTCGAGCTGTGACGGTCTGTAGCTTAACCCCTCAGGAATTCTCTGAGTCAACGCCTTTGAACATTCATCGCAACCTAACCCCTCGTTCAGTCGAGAACTGAGTCAACGTCGTATTTGGAGGACCAGCGATCGGTGACGAAAGGTCTTTACTCCGGAAAGGCAACGCTCGAGAAGGATCCAAATGTCAATCGAGGGCGAGAGCTTTTACTCGTCAACCTTTGAATCCTTAAACATCCAAATAGGAAGTTCTCAATTTGTGATACTGTCATGAGATACCTATCGCATACTTTTAGAAATAAATGAACAACCAAATCTTAATCATTTGATGAAGAAAACTTAGCCTTATAATTAGCCAATTTCAACGCATGAAATGGTTCTTTCCATCCTTAAACCTGCAGCGGTCTCTACAGCCATTTTTGCTCCTCCCCAGCGTCGGAGTGGTTTAGATAGGAGAGAAACATCCATCTAAATGTTTTCTTCTTCCTTTCATTCTTTCTGTGATAGAAAAGAAATCACAGATTCTAAACTAATTAGGATCTGCATATTATCTAGTATTTTTTAAAAGTTTTCTTCTTTCTATAATTAAATCGAAGAAGAAAATTTCTCCCGCTCCTTCACTTCTGTTCTTCTCTTATTCAAACAGACCTATCATCTGATCTCACCTCCTTCTCCATCCTAAGCAAGAAAGAGGCAGAGAGATGCTTACATGCATTCCTTGCCCAGGGACCAAACGGCTCATCAAAGAGATCACCAACCACGTATGCCAGCTCCACCTTTGTCTTACTAGTAGATCTCTTCATCTTTACTCTCTCTCAAGCTTCTAATGGATCGTTCTGGGGATTCAGATTAAAAGCATGTCGCTAAAGGCTGTACGTGTTCAACGTCCAAGAGAGCCGCAATGCCCCAGAGAAGCACCTGCGGTGAAGGCATGTGAAGAACAGGAGAAGGAATGGGTTGCAGAGCCCGAGTCTGGAGTGCTTATAACTTTGGTGTCGCTGCCTGATGGAGGAAACAACATAAAGAAGATACGTTTCAGGTGCCATCGGGCTGCATTTTATGTCTGAATCCCATGCATATTATAGATTTCTTCAGTGGTGAGCTTTTTGTGTTCTATAGTCAGAAGATGTTCGACGATTTGGGAGCTCAGAGATGGTGGAGCGAAAACTACGACAAGATCATGGAGCTCTACAGCATCGGTCCAGGCCACTCGTCCCCAACACCACCTCCATCGGATAACGAGGTCAGCTTAGCTTCTGCTGAATCTTCATTTGATGTTACTGAGAAGACCACACGTTGGCATCATGAAGTAAAACACAAGCTTAAATCTTTCGCTTCTTCTCGCATGGTAAGCCGACCACTGACGCGGTTGGAGCTGAAGAATCCATTGTGCCATTGCGCTCCTCCGGGAGCTCTGCGGCCAGTTCCTCCAAAGTTGAAGAGCTGGCGACGACAGAGGCCGCCGTGGAGATCCAAGACAAGGTGTTGGAGTGGGTCGTGGAAGATGAGCCCGGCGTCTTCGTCACCCTGCGTTCGACGCCGAGCGGCTCCAGGGAGATACTGCGAATCGAATTCAGGTAATGATCCCATCAAACAACAGATGGATTCATTGGAACTGTGAGCTCCTTTGCTGCATCTTACCGAGTCTTGCGAGTAAACGCAACTAAACATGCAGACGCGAGAGATTCGGCGAGGTGAAAGCAAGGGTGTGGTGGGAAGAAAACAAGGCCAGGCTATGGAAGCAGTACGCGTAGGTGGAGCTCATGTGGCTGTTCCAGTTATCTTGTAGTGCTCCTCTTTGCGATTCTCACGAGAATAATTAGCATGAACATTAAGCAAATGTGAATTCCACTTCAGGTTCATTCAAGTCTGGTGTTGGCAGTGCAATCCAAATTCTATTTGAATATAATTATTATTTGTCAGTTTATGGTAAACTCCTGAACTAAAATTTTATTTTTATTGTTTATCTTTTACAAAAAAAAAATAATTTGTTATTTTGTGAGTAATTTTGTTACACTTAATGTGTAAGTAATGAAATGGGTATTTTTCTTATAAGAAAAGGTTTATCCTTAGATGATGATCAAACAAGAAAAGAAATATTTTCTAAATTTTTTTTATTATATTTAAATGACAAAATTTTGAATTTTTAGTAATTTATTAGTTTCTATGAATAAACTGATAAAATTTCATTGTTTTTGTTATTTATATAATTAAAATAAATAAAAAAATATTTGGAATAAACTGATGTAGTATATTATTAATTAAAATTTAATCTTCAAGTAGCCTAAAATAACTGTGATTTGGCTTTGGTTCATCCCCTTAGAAAAGGCGCTTCACAGGATTAATAGATGACGTGCCAAAATATTACTGGACAAAAGCTGCTGTATCGTAGTCTGTGACAAACAGCTTCAGAACCAGACATGATTACTAAAATGGAGGGAGAGAGCGCGGGAAATACCCTCACGTGACAACGGCGAATTCATGTCATTCGCATTTTCCCGCCTCCACTTTCCTTCTCCCTCCTAAAAATGGCAAAAAAGCGAACAAAAACAAGCAGAGCATTCATAATCCGGAAGCCCTCCTCTCTCTCTCTCTCTCGATCGATCGTGAAACCCTAACGTTTGATCTCAGATCGGAGAAGATCGAAAGGCCTAACGCAGGATCTGGGTCAGCATGGCCCAGATCGAGCAAGCGTGGCACCTCCTCATTGCCCTCGTCCGGCTCGGCCGCCCCACACCCGCCGCCGACCTGGCGGCCAGATGCGACCTCACGCTATCTCCTTCCCCCGACACTGTCGAATTCCTCTGTCGGATCCCCGGATCCCCGCTGCTTCTCACGGATGGTGGCTTCGTCACTATCTCCGACACTGCCGTGGCCACTTTCCTGGGATTCCTGTCTAGCGCCGTCGCTCCATTTGTGCCGAGGATCGCGATGGTGGGTTCGGCACAGATGAGGACATGCGGCAATGTTTCGGTTACGTATGCGAGGAAGAGGAAGGTGCGTCCTTTGGATGATGATCTGGTCGCTGATGTGCCGATAGCGAAGAGGAGGCTTCTATTGCCTTGTGGAGGAGGTGCTGTGTTTATCCGTAGCCGTTTTCGTTGTAGGGTGGATAATAATTTTGTTGTTTTGACAGAAATTGGTTCTATGTTACAGATGTGGAAGAATTGGGAGGATTGAATAAGGAGGTTTCGGATCAGCTTTCGATTGTGAAAAATGCTGAAAGTGCTGCTACAAAGGTAATTGCTGGGTTTTTCTTTTCTTATTTTTCTTTATAGCCATTCGTCAGTTACTTGGTATATTAGATCACCATTTGTTTCCATGGTGATGCACTAGGAGAAAGTCTAACAAAGTTAATCATGGTGATCCATAAATAACATGTATAAATTGTTTCTTGTAGCATGATAAACAGGCATAAAGCTTTTGTTGTAGCATTTATACTTTGTGTATCAATAATATACTGATATGTGAGTGCACTGACTTAGCTTTTAGAATCATCGCCTAAGCTCTGAATTGTTTGCATTTGGCTGAGAAATTGGTGCATCATAAATATAGTACCTTCTGTCCTCTTATTGCTGACATTTCATTTTTTGTTAATAAATATCTACAACCTATCAAGACTTGGGTACAATTTGGCTATATAGATAAAGATACCTTTGATGAGACTTCTAGTGTGTCCTCTCACACAGCTACCTTGAGAATAAAAAACCTTAATTGTGCAGGTACAAAGAAACAAAATATATCAGGCCATGGGGATTCTTTTCGCTACTATGAAAGCATAAGGGGGTCTTCAAATCTCAAGAACATAGGTCAAAAAGCTAGATATTGTGACTCCAAATGCTGATTTTGTCTTTATTTTTTTAGTGGTTTAGAGTTAACACTTTTTTCATAAATAATTATAGTATCTATCCTTTGCTATTATCTTGGTTCAACAAATTTGACTCCTGTAATATCTTGTGGAAGACTGCCTTCATTCTGACGAGCATGCTTAAAGAAAATTAATTCAACTGTAAGTTCGTTTTCAGAACTTTGATTTTTAATCTATTTAAGCTTAAGGACATGACATGGCTTGTTATACATCTGTTCATCGTTCCCTTGCTTTTTTTTTGTTTTCAGGCTTCGCAGTTTGATCTTATGGTTTCTAATATTCTGAACAATGATGTTCTATCAGTTGGCTTGTCTGCACCTACGTATCCCTTGAGCATCTTAATCAAAAGAAACCCTTTACCTCTGTCTCTCAGTAACCCTAATGAGGTCCAGTCATCTTATGCAATTCAAGCAATACACAAAAAGTTATGCAATATAACACGAGCAACAGGAGTGCATGAAGTTTTGTCAGATTTCCTGAGCTTCAAACATGACTATGGTATTGAGACTAGTGCCAACATTCCTAAAGAAATTGCACCTGATGATAGTAAGATTGGTGAACCAGTTATAGCAGTGGCCTTTCAAGATTATATGGAGCAGAAGCCAACTCATTTGGAGAATGAGACAGAGACTTCGACAGAAAGAGGCCCCCAAATGACTGTCCCATTGACTTGTAGGATCAAGAAGGATATAAGTGAGACAAATGACTTTGGAGCCACAAAGTATGATGATGAAACCCTTCTTGGTCATGCATTAATACCAATAGATGGTGGAGAAGCCACTGCTGCATTGTGTTCTCAATCAAAAGAAACTTCAGTTGAAATCAACCCTTTGAAGAAAAGCCTAGAGGAATTTGTCCCTGCAGGTAAATACTCTTCAATTACAGTATCTTCATCTAATCAAGTATTCTATTGCATTGCACCAGATATTGGAGTCTGATATCTTCCTATATCACAGAATGGACAAATGAAAAGTTGGAACCTTCTGCACAATGTTTATCAGCAAATCTAAGATCTGTCAATAAGAAGCAAAGCAAATCCTTCGTGAAACCAAATACGATGGATATACCAAATATGGTTGCAGGGTTGAATAATTATACCCCATCAATAGATCACCAAAGACATGGTTGCTCCTTGAAAAAACGTCAAGAAAAAAGGGATCCTAAAATTATGGTTAAGAAGCAAACTATGCAGAGCATCTGCAAGAAAGATACTCTTATCAAAGATCACAAGGACACATTTCCTGGGGCATCTAAAGTAAGCTACTGTTAATATTCTTTTTTTTAACTGTTATAGGTGGATTGAATCAAGTTCTATCAGTATGATGTTGGCTTTGAAGTTTGATTTTTCCAACTTTATTATAAATGGACTGCAGTGCGACTTCGATCCAAAGTTACTGCCAAACTTTGAATCTTTCATCATAGAGGAAGAGGAAGGTTCAGGTAAAGGATGAAAAATAAACTCATATTATGCATTACCTATATTATGCCCTTTAAAATGTCTAGTTCTCACATCTTGTTTCGACTTTGACATGCAGGTGGGTATGGTATTGTGTACAGGGCTCGAAGGAAGACAGACGGAAAAATATTTGCAATAAAATGTATGATAAAACTTTAACAATCTTTTCATAAGATTTTCTTTTGTTTGTTAAGTTATTTAGTGAATTTGATGATTAATCTAATTATTAAAACTTGATTAATCAGAATTCAGAGATTTATTAAATGTTTCTTGGATTTGCAACCCCTTGACTTTTTATTCAATTGGATATCATTGCTTATGCCTTTTAAATCCATTTAATTTTGTCATGATCTTGTGAGACAATCCTATAAACATTCTTACTCTAAAAAATCGTTATATCGTACTGATCGATCAGTGGTATCAATCTATGGGCGAATTGGTATGCATCAATCAGTATTAGTTTACCATAGGTTAGTATCATAGGTTAGTATGGCGTTATATACTTGTTTTCTAAAGAAAATAGAGTGTCTATGAGGCATAATTAAATGCATAAGGCTGTGATTAACCCTAAATACCTTCAATTTGGGTCTAAATGTAAGACAGTAGATTTAGTTGGGAATAACACAAGATAATGATTTTAATCATGTTTAATCTTTGTAAATATGCATTAATATGTCTTTAATTATATGAAATGATAAATAAAACATGGAAAGAAGCTAATACCTTTAAATTGGAAAGTAATTCCACTTGATCCTGAGTTCTTGTTCCTCTTTTATCCAAATCAATAGCTTGATTACCACTAATCGTTGATTAAAAATTTTAATCACAAGGGAGAGTGTGAGAAAGAGTTGGTTTCTAATTGGAGAGTAATTCTTGTCGTTCTAGAGTGTACAGCCAATCTTGACTTAAGATGACTTGAGCAATTCTACTTGGCATATTTATTTTCTTCCCCTTGCAAATTTGGTTTCTAATTTCTACTGCTCATAGTATCACATTCTCTAATGTAAATGAATTTTCCTAACTTGGTTCTAAAAAGGTAAAATAAAGTCTCATGAAACAATCAATCTTGAGCTCATTAGACAATTGTCCAGTGAAACAACACAGTTCTAGGAAGTGCAAAGTAAGGTTTCTAGGACAGTTTCCCAAGTTGGAGTTCTGGTCTTGTATATATTTTGAACCAATGTTTTTTTCCTTTTTGATTGTGATGTTATGTTTAAATGGGTAGATCTTATCAGGATACCCATTTATGCAAAAGGTTCTTTTAGTAGAATTACACTGGCGTACCAAGTCTCTAGCAACTTGAGTCAAATATGTGAAAATCACCCAGGCATGTCATAAGCTCTTGTAATTATAAACAGTTCCTTATTTTTGGAATTTAATATACTGAGGATCTTATTCAGTTGACCTACAAATGCTTGAATTTTAAATTAAATTTTGTCAATGATAAATATTACATGTTGTCAATTCTTGACATTAGTGTGATGAATAGTTAATGGTCATCCCACATTAATTAAGCTTTCGGCAATCAGCATTTATTGAATCCCTTTATCTCTGATGGGCTGGTTTTGCTGATTATGAATCTTGGGTATTGAGAGTAAGCTTTTCCAAATATTATATTGGTAGTTCATGTTTGAGATAATGATCATTTGCCTGAACAGGTCCTCATGCCAATGCTCATTCACATCACATCAACAATGAAATGAAGATGCTGGAACAATTTGGGTAAGAATAAACAAGTCCTTTTTCTATTACTTCTGCTTCTGTACTTCCCTATCTCAGATTCTTTTCATTGTGATCCACTCTCTCTTCAGAGGCAGGAACTTTGTAATAAAGTTCGAAGGCTCTTTCAAAAGTGGCAATTCAGAATGCTTTGTTCTAGAACATGTGAAGCATGATAGGCCAGAGGTGATTATAGATTGTTTATAAATTTTGTATGCAACTTTTGTGGTACACATCAACTATTTTGTCTATTGTAGGTCTTGAAAAAGGAGATAAATGTATTTGAACTTCAATGGTACGGTTATTGCATGTTCAAAGCCCTTGCCAGCTTGCACAAGCAGGTAGCAAACATACACTGTTTGAATTGTTTGGGGTTGGATATTACATTTCCATTCGTTTTTACATTTATTTTTTCCAGGGTATTGTGCATCGGGATGTTAAACCTGGAAATTTTCTCTTCTCTCGCAAGCTCAACAAAGGATACCTTATAGATTTCAACTTGGCCAATGTTAGTGGTATCTATGTTATTCCTACTTCTAGCCAGTAGGGATGGCAACAAGGATGAGATGAGATGGGATATTCCTACTTCTAGTACTCTTTTGTTATGATATACTTAATGATAAAAATGTAACTAAATAGTTTTTCATTCCATTGTTGATGCAGGATCTGCACCAAAAGTTTCTCAAAAACAGTAAGTATCCTCGAATATTTGTAATATATGTCCTTTCGAAGATGCATCATTATGATTATATTATAACACAATTCAAGAAGCATTTAATCATAGGGCTATTACTAGCCTAGTCAAGTAAAGCTTTTGTTCCAAGTTATGAGATACAAATACTAGGATAAACTTGTTCCACAGTAGTGCCATGGCATTTTTTGAGCATGAGTTCATATTTTCCTATATTAAAATTGTGACAACTCTCAGCATGTGGTCATTTTGTCTTTTCTTTTCTTTTTTCTGATCAATAAAGTCAATATTTCAGTTTTTATTTGCTCGGCAATATGCTGCAGGTTTTATTGACAATTAAATAATTATTTCCTAGAATCATCCCTTAGGTCTTTGTAGCAACTGCAACCAAGTCAAATAAACTAAACTAATGATATGCTAGAAAAGTACAAATATGGATCTCCCATGCTCTAACTTTGTGCTGTAGCCTGATGTATATCAAGTCTAAAAAACTGTGAATAATGATCTAATGAGGAACAGATTACACAATTGAGCCATCCGTAGTTCAAGAACATACAAATCCAGAAGCAAAGCTCAGCCATATGCAATGGCTCAGTCATAACAACGAACAATTGATTATGAGTAATGAAAATAAATAGTTATGCTCACTAGAAATTCTAGCACTCATGTCTCACTTCGCATGTAAGTAATAAAAATCATCTCCTAGTACCCACCTTCCCATGCATTACATTTCTTTACATTACTTGGTTGAGTTTGCAAAACAATCAGAAATCTAATGAAATCCCAACATAGGACCAGAAATATTTTTCACAGTATGCCTCAAGCCCCTAAGATTAATATCAGTATTAGGACTGATTGGGCACAATACAATCAGAATAAACATGATTGCCTGACCATATTGGTGGTACCTGAATCAATCCAGAAAACAATGTAAGAATATAAATCATAAAGTAGCAATGCATAAGAAATTAACAAAAAAAAGAGAAATAGAAATATTATATGCTTCTTAAAAGCATATAAAATGGATATATAAAAGAAATAAACATAATACAAACATTAGTAAAAAGAGGAAAGTTTATTGTAAATATTGTTTAATAATTAGATAATTGTTTAGAGTTAACCAAAATATGGAGAAATTGATCAGAACTGAATTGGTGTTTTTTATTGATCAGAATCTGGAGAAGTGAAGAAATGCCATGAACAAGGTTAGGTTCTTATTCTGTTTTGAACTCTTAGTCAATTTTCTTTTTCTTTTGAACTCTGCCTGATCAAAATAACTTGGCTTGACAAAGTTGGAAAATATCTCGAGACCTTGCAATTAATCTGTCATGGTAGAACTTCTAAGAATTGTGTCATAACTGGCAGCTATTAGTAAAAGGACTATAATTTAGTTTCCACTGCTATCTGATTGCTGATTTAATTATTATGTAAAACATACTATAGCTGTTTTGTTGACCCTTGTTTTTCTGCCGATTAATTAGGAAAACATGAGGCTGATTCCATTGTAAGACCAAACCCAGTTCCTATACCAGACATGAAGTCGACTTCACGTAAACAAGCCAAGGAAGCAATGAAAGAAGGAATTTTGGACAATAGATTCAAGGAGGCGACCAATGACTCGAAGAAACATCTTACCAAAAGCTTGAAGAGGTCCGAGAGAAGTGCAATGGATGTCTTACCTAAACATGACAACAAAAATAGGTGCGGAAGTCAAGCTGCCGATGTTTCTGGCGTAACATCAGCAAAAGATCCAACAAGTGCAAGGACTGATAAGTTGAAGCAACCAATTCCTTGCAAAGGGAGGAAGGAGCTAATAAATTTCTTGCACGAGGCAATGCAAACTCCCAGTCCGAAGGGAGAAGCTGTTCCTACTTCTCAGAGGAAAAGGGTAGCTGCTCCTTTGGGTAAAATGGAGAGAAAGCCGGTAATACCTACTCCTATGCCATTGCATTATGGTGGGATTCCTGTTGCTGGTTCGGGCACATGCAGTAACAAAAGTATGTCACTTCAACATGAACTCATAATGTTTCTTCAAATTACAACAAGTAATCCTTTTGCCTCTGCCTGGTGTTGCTAGGAAACGGGAAGCAGAAGAGAGAGGGTCCTTGCGTTGGAACCAAGGGCTTTCGAGCTCCAGAGGTTAGGGCTGGTTTTGCATTCTCATAAAACTTGTACATCGTTTGTGCTCGCTCTTCTGATGAATTAACACTCTCGAAGCAGGTTTTGTTCAAATCTCTTCATCAAGGCTACAAAGTAGATGTCTGGTCTGCTGGCGTTACGTTACTCTACTTGATGATAGGAAGGTCGCCTTTCGGCGGTGATCCAGAACAGTGAGTTCAACTGAGAACTATGCGGTGGTGTTCTTGTCAGTTTTTTCGGCCATTGCTAACATGCTTGCCCTGTCATGACAAGGAATATAAAGGAAATTGCAAAGTTGAGGGGTAGTGAAGATCTGTGGGAAGTGGCCAAACTCCACAATTGCGAGTCTTCGTTTCCTCAGGTATCGCTATCCAAAATTTCTCTGCAAGACAAAAAAACCTGAAACGAAGCCTTAAATTGACAGTTGGTCTATGCTGCAGGAATTGCTCGATTTCCGATCGCTGCGATCCACAGAGCTGAGAGAATGGTGTGTTCTTAACACCAAGAGGCCAGAGTTGTTGGAGGTGATTCCACGATCGCTGTTTGATCTCGTGGACAAGTGCTTGACGGTGAATCCAAGGTGCAGGATCACCGCCGAGGAAGCTCTGATGCATGACTTCTTTGCCGCGTGCCATGAGAGCCTAAGACAGCAGAGGAAGCTGAGGAGGGAGGCCGCCTTGGAGTCTGGAACTCCCTTTGCGGGTGCTGTGTAAACCTCCTTGCCGGATCAGCCAATTCCACTGGATCGGCGATGGTCGTGGCCAATTCATTTTCTTCAGATGCTGACCCAAATGATGATTTAACTCATGCCTCATGTACATTTTGGTAGAGAGCGCCCAATATGCATGGTATCCGTGGGGTTTTAAGTTGGAAGAAGACTCGCCGGATTACTATGGTGTTGTGTGCTTCTATCAATGTCATATATTATTAATTTATACAAACAAACAATCAGAGCATATTGAGTATTATAATTACAGGAATAAAAAGTGAATATTGTCTTAATTGAGCTCGTTAGTGTGATTATTGTTGGTATTTTGCAATGGATCTGAATGAGAAAGCCTTCTGAACCATCTCCAATAATGCTAAAGTAAAGAAACATAATTCAATATCTGAAGACTGGAAGATTTTGTGGCTAAAATCTAACACTAATGCTAAAAGCAGGAGGTTCAACAGCCTCTTTAGCTTGTGCATATTTAGGCACCAGAAGCCATTACCATTGCCGACATGCATGTAAGCCAAAAAGTTTCATCCAAGCAGTACATCTGTACATAATTCCTAATTTTTCTTTTCATTGTTCCAAATTAAGAAATTTGAGAGCACAAACATTAGCCGGAAAGGCGGTAGGTTGGAGAGAAGAAAATAACTAAGAGGTTCCGGAAACTGGGAGTTAGCTGTCGGTCCATCTTCTCTTGACCTCTGATTTCCACCTCACTTCTTTGAGCTTTCCATCCATCCCATAGTCTCTCTCCATCACAAGGTTAATACCTTCATCTGAGTACCAGCCAACGCCAATGGTGAGGATGCCATCTTTATTCACATCAACGTATCCAGTGACACCTCCCGGAAGCCAGAGAACGGTCACATCTTGCATGTCGAGCACCTCTTCTTCCCCAAAGGAAACAGAGCTCTCGGGCAAGCTTCTTTTCTTCAACGTCTCAGTGCACAAATAGACGAAGGGCAAGCCACCTTCAGCTGTTGGTTCGTCACTAAAAATCGGTGTGGCACTCACCTCAAATACCTTCCAAGAACCAGTCAGTTCTGAAGGTTGTGTTCTTTTTCGTTGTGAGAAAGGTTTCATATCAAACTGCACATCACTGGAGTGAATGACAAGTTAGATACCACTAAGCAGGGTGAATAAACAAATGACAATACAATGGAAAGTTAGTTATTGACTGCCAAAAGCATGTTGTGCTACCAGGTTTCTAGTAATATGTTAATCCAAAAAATTAATTTTCACAATATAATGGAAAGTTATATCAAGCATCCTAGGATGATAGCCAGGGTGAATAAACAAATGACATGCTTTTTTTGGCAGTCAATAATATCCTTTTTACTAAATGAACAAGACAACAATTTATCGACACAAAATTATGGCAAGGTGATGAACTAAGGCTTCAAGGCTTTCACGTCTTTGCTTGCTACAAACTACAAATCGTATCGACTTTCAAGAGTCTCAAAAGAAATATTTTAGGCTCACACTTGGTACTTGTTTTGGATAATTGAAAACCTATTACACTATATTCTTATATATCCCTACAGATTACCATCACCAACAGATTTCAAGAAGGAACCACAATGAACATCAGAATTGAAATCTCCCATCTCAGACATACATGAAACTTCCACTTAAAACAATGAATTGAAAGCTTACTCTGCAACATCGATATTAGCTGGGCTGACCCACTCTTCTTCATATACGGCAACCCTAATTATTTGAATGTTAGACCCTCCTTCATTCAACTCGATGGTGTGCACAATCCGCAGTCTCTTGTGGCATCCTTTTACTAAACACTGAGCAACAAGGTTTAGAAAAATTACTCAATATATTCAACAGTCTGTTAGAGAAAAGATATTAGGCTTGCTACTAGTGGAAGGCTTGATAACAGTTTCAATACACCAAGCAAAGAAATTTAAGATAAGCAACCGCACAAAATTATTGCAATGAATCACCAGAATGATTTCAGAGAATGAAACACTGGTGAAGAGTCCTTTTTTGCTTTGGAATTTTTTCTGTACGCAACCTCTTTTTCCAGTAAATATTGATGAAATGAATTACATGAAAGTTCTACTGGGACTGGATAAACAATCGTGGACAGTACGCCTTCCTCAGAGGTCTTTAGTAATGCAACTGCATCAACTAGAAGAGCATGTTTGAAGAGAAAGATAAGCATTTGTTAAAGCATTCATGCAAATGAATTAAGTGTTACCTCCTTTAACACGTTGCTATTGGTTCCAGGCATGGCAACAGCTTGGGTCAGTAAAATCAAATTGTTAGGATAAAAACACCAACCAAAACTTGGCGCTAAGCACATAAGCTAACCTAAGCAATGTAATTCTTTCTTAACTAGATACCGGCACAATTAAAGAAAAGTTAACTAAACAATATTGTTTATATTTCACCACCTAGAGCATTGGAGACAGATCTAATGGATATGAAACTTCTCCCAAAAATCATTTTGATCTAATGTTTAAGGTGTGATCATAGGTTGTAACTGTATAAATAGCTAAGTCAGAAATCGCTACTCCCTCCATTTGCTGCTCCAATTCTCTTTCTCTCTATTTTTTGAGAAATCCTCACATACCACTTCCAACGGTAACACCCCTCTAAGCCCCTCTCTTTATTCCTTCCTCAGTGTTGTGGTTTGGGCCATCCAAATGGCTTGATGTTTATCATACCAGCTATATGGTCCAGCAGTGATATGTGCCTCAGGAAAGTATTATTGAAGAAAATATTGTTCAGTGTGTGCAAAAAAGTGGACAAAGACAATAAACATTTTATATGATGAAAAAGCAGGATAGAGTAAATAAGGCAAGTGGATATTACATGGACAATGAGATTATGACAAACAAGTGATGATAACATCCACAAAACTTACTTGTTCAAACTTAAAAGTTGGAGAAAGGAAATATTTGGATTCATCAAAACCTTGGACTGGTAAGTCTACAGGACCTTTAGAATATGATCCATCCTGAAAATTGAGAAAATTAGTTAATAAAGAAATATAGTTTTCAGCAGAGGCAACAAGCATTAGCTAGGCAATGAAAAAATGGTGAGAAGCTAGCGTCCGATGGATGTCGCCAAAACCTAGGCAACAAAAGCACCTGTAGTTTTTATGATATTGGGGGAAAAAAAAAGTATATTGTTCGACATTGGTCGCCATAAAAATAAAAAGACAAAGAAATACATGAAATAAAAAGTAGGTAACCTTTTACTTCTTCTGAGTCCAATAGTTCATGTTCCATAATCTAGGGTGCAGTGTGTTTTATGTGGTTTGTATATATCTTGTGTTTCTGTAACTCAAAAAATGAGAAAGTACATATTATGATTGTACTTCTACTTACATTTTTGTCAACAACTAAAATTTCTGGAAATCTAGAAACTTCCTACTACTAGAGAACTTTAAAATCAAGCATCCTTCCTTATTGGATGATTTCATAACCATTGCTCATTATATTGGGAGCACACAATCTCTGAGATATGGTGATTTTTCACCCAATTAAAGGTATCAAAGAACTATACACTGGATCTAGGATTGGTTGACTTCTAACTTGATCTCTATGATTGTGTGACTGTTTGCATAATCCACTGGATCTAGGATTGGTTGACTTCTAAATTGATCTCCATGTTTGTGTGATCGTTCACAGAATCAAGAAATTAATTCTAATCATCCGTAGACCTTTTGTTATGCAGCTGTTTGGAGCTGGCAAGGTTGTATTCCTTTGCCATGTCAATAAAGTGTTTGTATTCTGGTTCAGATCCCAATATTCATGGTGTGATGATAGTTTGACTGTGTTTTTGCTCGTCACTAACCCGTTTTCTTCTGTGCAGGCACGAGGTTACAGGGAGTGACCCTATGCAAGCAGCTATGTCACACAGGTGCCACACAACCTAGGTAAAAAGTTAAATCTGTGAAATGAGCTAGATTACTTGTTACCTTGAATGCAGTGAATATGCATTATCTTCGCAGTTCACAGTTTTGAATTTTATTTAGAACAGTTAAAACAACATTTTATTGCCAATTTAAACATTAGATGATAAGGTTGTCTAGTAAAAATTGTTGAAAGATGATATTACTGTGAATTATACTGTGTATTATTGTGTGCTTTTTTTTGCGAATAATTAACATGTTCATACTAAAATAGCTTCGTATCTGATGGCTAATTGACCAGAATAGACATGCAATCAGAACCATTTTAATAACCTAGCGAAAGTTTGGTCCATTATAGTCTTCTCACCATGACATATAGCATTCAGGTTCTAGGGCAGATCAGGTATCTATGACCTTGTTCCGACTATGAAGATGAACGCCAGCTCTAGCAGATCAGGTATCTACGGCATTCACAATATGTGCAACTAGTGACAAAAAAAAACACAAATTTCAATCTTGTATGTTTTTTCTAACTCCTATTATCTACCTCAAGATCCCCAATTCAACTCTACAATGCCTTTCAGTCCAAACCAAATACAAAGCCCATATGCAATGTTGCAGATTTGCAGTTTATTTCCTACTAATCTTATTCATTTTTCACATAATCCTTGCAGTCTATTGACTCTAGACATTAATAGGTCCCCAACTTCTACTGGTGGTAGTTTAGAATATGTAAATCAATAACATAAATCCAAGCATTCTCAATAAACCATCACTATCCTTTTCCAGCTACATCTTAAATTAACTTGTGGTCCTCAAGTTTCACAAGTAGCTGTTGCTGTTCTAGTTACCACTAACCAATCTGTGAATTTTTCATCATAGCATATCCACAGACTAAAAAAATTTAATTAGATCATAAAACTATAAATGTAAAAGAAAAAAAAGGTAGCCCCATCAGCAGCTGCAGTAATGTTAAGATTATGGGAAGAATGTACTACAGCTGGTGATGGTTATAAATTACATGTCAAACATAAAAATTAGCTGTAGTTTAAAAGGTACTTGTAATGACTTGGCACTTTCTATTATATAAGAAATATCAGAATCTCAAGATTTTAGACCAAAAATCATTAAAATAATCTATATTCATTTGGTTAACATAATAGTATTTTGCTACATACATGAAATCAACTGTTAGAATATGGAAGTACATCATAGATGTTCAAAATTGAAAAGAAAAAAGAGAAACTTACCTCAAAGAAAACAAGACCAGGCTCCATATCCATTACATCTTCCTCCAAATCTTCTCCTCTTGACAAGTCAAAGGAGTCATAACTAGGCAAACCAGAGTTTTTATCAGTGACATCAAGAGTTTCCTTCTCAGAAACGCCATCTTTAGCCTCAGTTTTATCACCTGCTCGATGTTTTTTACTTTCTCCAAATGGGTTCAGAGCTGCCCAATTGGTCTTCCTCCTAATATGAGAGAAGATACCACCTTCAGATACCTTCTCTATCAGTGAACGTGTGTAACAATCATAAAGATTCTCATTTTGCTTCCCAATTCCAATTGGCTCTATTTCAGCTGTAAATGGAGAAAATACTGCTCCAACACCCTTCCATATACCACTGACACTACTAGCAAAAGTATCCCATGCTGGTTTGATAACAGGTTCCTATTCAGTATGACATCTATTTATTAGAATTCAATCCTTCATATGAAAAGATGCCCTCAAAATAACATGATACTCCTGAAACACAAATATCCGTTTCTGGTAATGTAACTATGTATAACAGAATAAACAGAGATATCATGATTAACAAAAAATATATTCTCAAAGGAAAACCATATGCTACAGGAACCTAGTAGAAATCAACAACATGGCGGGAAATTCAACATAAAAACCAAGATTTGAACATTTATCCTTGCTAGTTAATATGATAAAAAATAACTGCTTAAAATTGAGCGTAAAAAGTAAATCTTTGGAGGGAAAAAGGATTAACAGGCAATAATCCTATGATGTTATTGGGATACCATTGTCTCTGGAGTTGATTGAACCGATGATGTTACGTTGATTATTTCTTTCTTATTTTACTTAATCTAATCCTAGTCTACCATAATTGGTCTCAATGACTAAGATGTCATATGCGGATTTAACAACAAACAAACCATTCTTTGTAAATTTGTGCTATATTGCATTAGAAAGAAACTTCATAAAATTTCTCATGATTCATCCATTGGGTTCTGAAAATTACAACCACTAACATGTGTTGATCGTTGAGGTTGAGCAGTCATCTATATACTGAAACACCCATTTCTTTACTTAATCCAATTAAATGGTTTCCTCAATTATGGCATGCATTAACATATTTCATCCAATCACCAATATCACAAACTTGTATCTGTCAAACTGATGAACCAATTGTTTATTATGGCATGATAAGTTGATATCATAATGATAAATGTAGATATTTGAATAGATTGAGGGATCCATCCAGCAACAACCTAGCATATAACATAACCAAAGAACTTATCAGCCTGCTGTTATGTCTCCTAATCCTGCTTACGTAAGAGCACTCATTAACACCAGGTACTATTGAGCTATCAGATTCTAAGGAATTACTTGAACCGATAATGTATACATGGAAAGATTAACTCTACTTATTCTAGCTGAGTGTAAACCTAGTCTTGGTCGCCATTTATCAAATTATATAAGCAAATGTTATATGTGAATTTAATTACACTAATCTACGCTCTACGTTTAACGGAAAACCGTCCAAGATTATATCTTTTACTTCACAAAACAAGTATTGGGTACGAAAATTGGTACTTGCAGTGACACGGAAGGATTCCGCAGAAAATTCCTAAATTATATAAGAAATTCTGCAACAAAGTCTTGGAAAAAAAATTACAAATTGCAGAAACATTACAGAAATATTAAAATCTTATGGCATATGATGCAAGAATAAATCTTTCTGTCGTTTCAATCAAAATTCAAAAAGAACTGTGAAAGTTTGAGACGAAGAGCCAAGAGCTCGCTCACCTGAGTCTGGAGAACCGTCTCGACCTCCATGAGCATGGAACCAGAGACCAAAACCCTGGCACCCGGACCTCTCCTTCCGGCAGACCTCACCCGCCTCCCTCTCCTCCTCCGAGACTTCCGGGTCTTGTCCTCCGCGGAGGCCTTGGCGGAGGCGAGATCGTTGTCAATGCTCCAAACATTCTGCTTCTTTTTGGCTCTGATCGGCTCCTTCCTCCGGCCGCCGGCGAGGGAGCAAGAAACCCTGAGGCCAGTGGAAACCCTGTCGCGCTCGGGAAACGAGAGGGGAAGAGGCGAGACAGGATTCCAGAAGTAGCGGCGGCGGACCACCAGGTGCGGCGGCCGCGGCAGGGTGAGGTTGCCGCAGGCGTCGAGGCAGTGAGACTCCATGCCGAACGAGTAGAGAGAGAGAGGGATGGAATACGGGGGATGGGGAAAGGCGTTCGGATATGGGGAATAAACAGCGAGGGAGATCACTGCGGGCGGACGATGTTAGAACACGGTGCAGCGTTTCCACCACTGATTGCGCGCCGCGTCGCGATCACTGATGGGAATGGTCTGTTTGCCAAACCGAAAAACAAATCATTTACCCGCACCACGTACCCAGAGTTCGAACGAAAGGAATCGAGGGTCGGGTCCCGCATAAACCCCACGTTGCCTCATTAACAACCACACGGTTGAGATAGGTAATCGTGAGACTATATACATATATATATATATATACCCTTTTCAAATATATATTAATTGATGAGCTGAGGGTAGACCTGATGCCAAGCTTAATTAATAAAACACAACCAAAGATATACATATTAATATGTATCAGTCCATTTTGATCTATCTATAACTTTCCAAAAGTGAAATTTCCCTGACTAATTACAATAAGAAAGGTAGACAATTCCGTAAAGTGATGGATGGATCCATCTTGTGATACAAAATTGCAGCAGAACATAGAAATATACCAAATAGTGGTCGAAAATGCATTCTCATGCAACAGCAGCTTGCGGATTCTGCTCGAAAACACGCTTGCCCCATGAGCTGATCCTTCTTTTCCTCAGCCTTTCAGCAATGGCGAAAGCCAGTTCCAGGGACTGTGAAGCGTTGAGTCTGGGATCACAATGCGTGTGGTACCGAGAACTCAAGTCATCATAAGTAACTGCCTTTGATCCTCCGATGCACTCTGTAACATTCTGACCGGTCATCTCCAAGTGCACTCCCCCTGGGTGGCTACCCTCTTGTTCATGAACATCAAAGAAGGCCCTTAGCTCAGACTGCATTGTTAAGACACCATATTCTCAGATTGGTTCAAGATTCAAATTGAAAAAACCATCATTTATCCACAACAGATTAAATTCAAGCTTACTCTGATTGCATCGAATGAACGAGTCTTCAGGCCACATGGAGCTTTCACTGTGTTTCCATGCATTGGATCGCTCACCCAAGTAACTATCAGACCAGCTTGACGCACAGCTCTAATTAGATGAGGAAGCTTGACGCGCATGCTCTCAGCTCCCATTCTTGTGATTATGGTTAGCCTTCCAGGCTTGTTGTGATGGTTCAAAATCTCACACAGTTTGACAAGCTCAGATGGATCCATTTTATCGCTTACCTACAAAAAACCATCAAACTGTATCAGAGGACCAAACAAGAAAAAAGAAATTGGATATTTGGCATAATCAATTACATGGACATATTTTTTGTCAAATATAAAAATGAAATAACATTGATGCCTGTTGCTTCCCAGGACACAGGTTGGCCAACACACTTCAAACAAAGAAAAGCTTTTCTAGCTAAAAGTATAAATAGCAGCATCAAGGCTGCGGCATCTGAACCACTAATATCAATTCCTATTTAAATTACCATAAGCAACAGATGCCAACACTATCTGAAAAGTTTGAGCAGATTCAGGAGGATATCATGATCACCTTTATACCCAGAGGATTAGCAATTCCACGGAGAAATTCAACATGCGCACCATCTAGCTGCCGTGTCCTTTCCCCAACCCAAAGCATGTGGGCCGAACAATCATAGTATTGCCCAGATGTTGAATCTTCACGAGTCAATGCCTGCTCGTATGGTAGGTGAAGGCATTCATGAGATGTCCAGAACTCAGTTGTGGCCATTATTGGATGATTAGCAGTCAGACCAGCAGCAACCATAAATCCAATAGCATCATCAACCCTCTGAGCAAGCTCCATATATCTGCTCAAAACCAACAGTCAGAAGGAAAAAAAAAATCTGAACTTCAAAAACAGTATGCAAGAAGAAACCCTGATCATATATATTTGTTAAATTCCTGAAGGACAGAAAGTTATTCTTGACATTACTTGCATTCATCAAACTAAAGTATCCATTAATGAGACTCTTTTCTAGTCTTCTATTCATTGAAGAAGATACTGCTGTTGTTGTAAAGTAAGCTAGAAACAAAGGTCCAACAGTTTGCATATTAAAATGTGCGGTGGTACAACCAAGCACAAAAAGCTATCCTGTGACAGAATATTAATCATGAAACTAAAGAAGCACAGGGTGAGTGATACAGATAAAGAACATGCAAGGTATAGATGGGCCAAAAACCTGTCTCCTTGCTCACTGTGCTCTACAAAATCAAGGTTCCACTGTGTGACTCTCTGAATCGACGCATAACCACCAGTAGCAAATGCTCTAAGGAGATTCAGAGTTCCAGCTGATTGGCTATAAGCTTTAAGCAACCTTTTTGGATCTGGCTCTCGAGATTTTTCGTCAAAGATATCACTATTGATATTGTCGCCCTGATAACTAGGAAGTTTTACACCATCTTTTGTTTCAAATGGTTCAGATCTGGGCTTCGCAAATTGACCAGCCATCCGCCCAACCTGTTGTATGGCATTAAAGACAATAATGTCCACCCAATAACATGAGATGATGATGCAGACTTTTCAGATTTATTACTTCAAAACTTAGTAATAATCAGACATGAGGGACAGCTTGCCACAATACAGAACCATTTTTTAATAAAAAAAAAGAAAGAAATACTTTCAAATATTTATTAAATCTTTCCCACAACACACTGATATAGTACCAATTCAAGTAAATTCCATCTGTAAATTTAACACTGAAGAGCTCCAACTTTTTGTCAGATTAATCTGCAAGACTATAAACAAGCACCACATCTCATAAAAACTAGCTCTTTAACAGGTTTTTTTTCATAGTATCAACCTGTGCTTCTCACTACTGCAGTGATCTATAATATATCCCCCAAGCTACCAGTGATCGGAACTATGGTGAAGGAAATAGAGATGCTGTTAAAGATGGAGGAGACTTGATCATGTAGAAATACTGAAATTCTCACAAAAAAAAACAAAAAACAAAAAATTGATTGAAGAGTCCGTCGAGAATTGATTGTGGATGCCAAAGGTTTATCTAAAGTTGAAGATCAACCAGCCAAGAAATATATCACCTGTTCAGAATCTGTTTGTCAGAGGCTAAAGTCTGGGTTCCAAGATCTTCTACAGTTATTATTAACTCATCACAGTCATGTGAGTTTTATGATAACAAAATAGGAAGAACAGATCCAATGGAAGGAGAAATGAGCAAAAGGTAACAGAAGTCAGAATCCATCATCCATGAGAATCTTTTGATCAACGGGGCAATCATGATAACATGAGTACAGGCAGTGAGAATAAACTGATGCAACTTGAGTTTAGATTAGCCTAGGTTTCATCATGTTATGTGAAGATTAAGCCATGTTTAAGACTGAAATTAAGATATATTTTCTTTTTCTTACTTAGATGACCATTCATTTTATCTTAGGGGTGTTCAGTAACCTACTTTGAGTTGTCTAATTACATACTAGTAACAAGAAGTTCTAAATGCCACTTCTAAATAATGGAAAGTTTTCTTCAAAAATCTTGCACCATGAGTTATCTAATATAAAATTGGATCTTATAAATCAAAGTCAGTTGGAGAAAGCACCAAATCACATAAAGATTTGCTCTTTGTGGTATGTTCCTTCATTGCCTTTTCTTCTAATCCTTTGCCCTTCTCTTTTGAAATTTTCTTCAACCCCTCTAGTTTATTATTCCTCCATTCCATCAAAAATTGTTATAACACATTATTTATTTTCACAAAATAACAATGATGTATGGCCAGATTTCAGTATGTCGCTTCAAAACCTATCAAATCTGAAATTTGGACTGGAAGAGAATACAATTTTGGCATTTGAGTTCCAAAAAGCCCACAAGACATGGATACAATTTCATATTTAAGGCAATTAAACATCTATTTCAATTGTTGCAGATAATCAAAATAAATGTTTCAACATAAACAGCTCAACTTAAAAAATGAAACATTTCAGCTTGTATATAACTTTCTGTCCACCAAATATCAACACAATTCAAACCTTTTCCAAATCAATATCGCTGACAGGGCATACCTTAAACTTATGGGCTTGCAAAGGGATTAAACTTTTAATTTCCATTTTAAAATTTTTAAATATTTACAGACAGACCTTCTAAATGAGAAAATTACAGCAAGGAAACGACAGCAATTGCGCACTTAAAAGAGTAGACGTGATGGATGTGTTAGATGGATGGTAAACAAATAAATCACCATAAGATTTACACAAACATTCTTGTTTGTCAAATTTATCTACAGATGAAGTGTAATTCCATATAACTCGAAAAAAGCAATTAGCATAAACATTCTTGTTTAAAACTTGAAAGAAAGGTCCAACCTTGATGATGGGCATCTGTCCTCCAAAGGTCAGTACCACCCCCATCTGCAACAGAACGCGAAAAGTGTCCCTTATATTGTTCGCGTTAAACTCCTTGAAGCTCTCGGCGCAGTCTCCCCCTTGAAGCAAGAAGGCCTTCCCGACCGCAGCCTCCGCGAGCCTCTCCTCCAGCCTCCTCGCCTCCCCTGCGAACACCAGCGGAGGGTACGTCTCCAAGCTCCGGAGGACCGACTCCAGCTCCTCCTGATTCGTGTACGCTGGGATCTGGAGCGCCCGCTTCGACTTCCAACTACCCGGCGCCCAACTCGTGGAAGATGCCGCCTTCCCTCCCGCCGCTGCAGCCGAGACGATTGGATTCCTGGAGCAAACGGCGACTTTGGAGGGGGACGAATGGCGATTGATAGCAACAGCGGTGGGGGGGAGGGAGAAGACGGCGGAGAGATTCCCGGAGGCAGCGAGAGGCGCCATTGCTCGGTAAACTAGGATTAGGGTTTCTACGGCGATGACGATTGCCGCGGTGGCGCGCTCCAAAGGCGTTTCGTGCTCGAAACGGACGTTATCTTGGAAATATATACGGGTGAGGTTGGAGTGCGGTCACCGCCAGTGAGGAGTCACCGAGATGAAATCTAAAGATTGTCTTGCTTCCGAGGTCGAGGAAGGCGACGCACGGGAAGCGGGGCAGTTCGTTGATTCCGTCGGCGTAGAACATTACATGCGGACGACCTCAGAACCAGTCAACAATGGCCCCATGCAATCGGTACGTAACAAAAACTCTGAAGCGTGACAGCCACCGGCGCATCCATCGGGAACACGATGAGTGATAACGCATAGTGGCCTCACACGTGAGGCCTCTACCGAGAAGTGATGGGGTCATTTGTCCTCTGTATAATTAGCATGTTGTTGAAAGTTACGATTTTCCATGTCATTGCTAACATGAAGGATTGATTAACATAACATTTCCCACGGCAAGTGATACGGTTTCACTCATTATAGTCTTTAAATTGAGGATCAAAAACCCACACGTCAAACACTTGCACATGAAAACACATGCGCAATAGATAGGACTAATTGCACAGATCAGTTCGAAAAACAAACATTTGACTTCTTTAGATGCATCATGATGATAAGGTACATGATTTACCAGAAAAAAAAAAGGTAGCTTTAACCAAGGAAACCCAGTCCAACTAACTAGTTATATATCATTACCAGACTTGAGCCAGTGTGGCTTCAAATCCAGCAGCCAGCCTCCCGGACACCAATTCAATCTCAAGGCTTCGAAAAGCTTATACAAACAAAGGCAGAGAGATCTTGCCATAATGATCATAGGAACAAAGGATAAATATATCAAACTCATATTTAAATTATGGTTATGTTTTCAACTGCAACAGCAAGCCTTCTGCAATCACTATACTTTATTTTTGTGACAGTTCCATTACAGAGCATAAACACGAGTTTGATCCACATCCGAGCAAGCAAAATGCAGGTAAAGGGTGAGTCGTCTTTAAACAACGATACGCATAATGCAAATTGTAACTTGCCTGTGACACAAACATGCAGAAGACAACCTGAAAAAGAAGCCTCTTGTCACTGGGCCACTGGGCACGAAGGCGTATGCACAATGGTTGACCATCAACAGCACTGTTTCACGAGCAAGAATTGCTGTGACCCCTCGCAAGCAGATGTTTCCTCGCAGTCGATTCCTTTTGAAACACTTAAGATAATTTTCATGAAGAAAATGTGGGGTAATCCTTTTCCTCAGCTCTGGCTGTGTCACACAGCATGATTGCCATCTCGAAATCTCCACATGGACCTCTTATAGTATCTTATAACCAAGTGCACCAAAATGCGATTGCGAGAAGCAAAAAACCTGGACCAGTTCTCTGTCATACGAATGTTTGAAGCCATGTCCCGGCACAACACTGTAGCTGGGTGCAAAGAATGTAACCCATCACTCTCCAAAACCTACTGCAGCTCAGCCATTGAAGTGATGTTTCTGGCTAGGTGAACTCTGATTTTGCTGCTGCGGAGGCTGCATATTTTGAGGCTGAGCATTATAATGGGCAAACGGTTGTGAGTATAGAGGGTTCAGGGGGCCCTGTGGAAGCTTTATGGTTAGGAATGTGATAAGAAATTCTTGTTTTCAAGGAAAATAAATGCCATAAAACTTGAAAATCATGAATTACAAATTCCTAATAGAACCTGCGATTGAAGAGAACCAGTTCCAGCCATGCTGAAATGGCTCTGAGAAGATTCATCTTGTGAAGGACCATTGAATCCTGCTTGTGTGAACAAACCTTGTGATCCATGAGGCACGTAATCCTGTTAAAACTTTTTAATTCATTAGCCAAAACATAAGAAGGTAAATGCATGAACACAGAGCACAACTTTAGGTGAACTTCAAGATGATCAAACCTGAAACATGAATTCATTCCCAGCACCCAACTGGGAATATCCTGGCTGAGTATTCTGGTTTAGGTAGCTTCCTGGGAAAGCAGCCTGAGGTCCTTGAGTGACATAATCAACGCTATAACCACTTTGAGAAGCCTATTCAGAGAAAAAAGTTGTTTGAGATGCAACACACCAACAACCAAAAAACACATTTATTTATACAAGCAACATAGAGCATTTTATGTCAGGGAGAGTGCAACATATGGCATGCAACAAAAGACATCATGAAAATGATACCTAGAAGAACAGTTGGTTCAATACATAATAGTACTACATAGAAGTACTTATGAACGATTAAACATCAGCAGGAACAAGAAGCAAATTCTGGGCCTCTATGAACTGAATATGTACAAGCACACCAAGAAGAATTTTCATGCTAGAATGGGTTATAAATTGAACAGGTTGATGCATACATAGGCTTCCGGAAGAATATAATATAATTTCAATAGTTACTGGTCATATGCCAGATTAATTTGAACTTACTCTCAATTGCTGTTTGTTGGAACTAATAAGAAATAGGATAGATATGTACAAAAACGACTTTGAGTGAAAAGCATCAATCTAAGTGCAAATAATGCCAGTTGCAGCATGTGCTATGCAACTTACTAGCATTGATTCAACACCTGGAATGACTATTTTTATAAACATACTGATGACAGAATTTGGCACTTTGAATCACGAAAGAAAATGATCTGTCAAAACAGAAAATGCAACAGAGTGCTACTTTTCTATCCTACTTTCTACTTATCTGACAAGAGCTGAAAAGCGATTATTCACAACCAATGGAGCTAGTTGTTCACATCCTTTCCCTGTATCTTTGCTAAGAGAAATTCAAAAGAACCAAGACCTACAATGTCACATCTTATCAAGTTTATTTCTACACTTCATCCTATCCTGACTCACCTTCCGTTGCAATCCAATTAAAATGTTCTTTTGGATGTCAGAGCTATCTTTGACAGTTGCTCCTTATGCTCAACGGTTGAGAGCTTGGACTCAATAATTTCTTGTACTTCTCTTTTCTGACCACACCAACGTCTAATTCGGTTTTAGTTAGGGAAAAAGAAACCCTGAGTATGTTGCATTGTTATTGTACAACACCATTTTTCATACATAACTGGTCTTATGGCCACCTAATAAAATCTTTCTTCCAATGGAACAGGTTTTCTTAGTTGCATGACACCTCTTGATCATCCTATTATCAGTTAAATAGTGATATCTTCTTCAATCTCTCTTGTTTCAAGATAATACAAATCTTTCATGTTTAAATATTTCAGGACAAGCAGCTTCATCTGTATGCATGATTCCTGGTCTTATAGCATTATGATTGCACTCCTTATCATAATGTAGATTCAAATTAACATAGTAATTAAGTAAATACAGAGGAGGAATACAGCATGAGATGGAAGACAATTTAAATGGAAGCAACAAGAGCATATCACATAAAGTCCAGAGAAGTTCCATGTAGTTCCATAATCAGCATTGTTGAGGGAATACTTAAAATGATGCTGCCTAATTGTAGAAACAAAAAAAATTATGATGGTCTCCTAAAAAATGTAGAATAACAAGAAACATACTTGCATAGAGAAATCAGCAACATTATAAGCAACATGTGATCCTTGGCTTTTGAAGTCGTCACCAGGAAAGTCCTGTAACGCAAAGAAAAATTCAACATCAACGTCAATAGAACACATTAGAAATTACAAAACTATTGATAAGCATCAACAAGTACTTGAGACATGCCGCCAATAGAAAGCCCATCCCGAAATGTTTGACTGAGACCTTGAACTGGCATCTGAAGAACAAAAAGAATAAAGAAACAACAGATAAGAAATAATGCCTTTACGAAACACCTGTATGTAAGCTGAATGCTGGATGCATAAAGGGCGCATACCTGTGTCATTAATCCAGTTTGTGATGATGGAGCTCCAACAGAAGGCTGACTGTTTGGATTGTCCAGATGGGGGAAGTTAAAAACAGAACCAATACCACCAAAAGGTTGCTGGGAACTTTGCTGATGAGCCAGGTGACCCCCAATAGGACCACCAGCATTACCACGACCAGGCCCAAAACCCCTGTTGCCAGGCTGTGGGACCTGTGGTACAGCTCCGATAGGTCCATGAACGGCACGAGTTGGAATTGCATATGGCTGAGAATGGGGACCTCCAGGGAAAGGTGGAAGAGGAGCACGGGGCAACGGATATCCTGCTGGGTGTGTGCCAGATTTATGAGTACCATTTGGAGGGCCAAATGGAACATAAGAATGACCTGGTTAGGAGCAGATCAAATGATTAAGAATTCATAAACAAAGATATTCAGGATCCCCGGAAACAATAAAACAGTAGATACAAAGAGTAGATGCTGCAGTTAGAAGAGACTAAACAATTAATACTAGTGGTACAAAGAGAGAAAAGAAAACCTAAAAAGACTCTACTAGAATCTACAAATAAAAATTTAAATACTTTTAAATCTTAATCTAATGTTGGATTTCACTTTATAGATATCAATTAACATTAAGATTAATCTTAGTCTGACACCAAATAATTGGGACTTTATAACTTATTGTCGTTGTTGTTGTTGTAGAAACAAAGACTGCTTCACTTGGTAAATGATTAATCTTTGCCAACCATATTTAAGTAGATTCTAACTTTAATTGTTGAAACATTGTTTGTTGCATTTTTGTAATAACCCAAGTTACACACTGGTTTAAAACCATACCTCTACTGCGTCCACCTCTCTTATCACCGAGAGGGACTGATGAACTGACAGGACCAGAGTTATCAGTGTGCACAATCCCAGGACCACCCCCATAAAAAAGTCTGCCATTGTAAATCTGTTGATAATAAAAAAAAATCAGCCACAGCACATTATAATCAATGGACAATATACAAATATTTAAATACAAAGATAACATTTATAAAGGACTAATTTGGAATGCGATGTTGAGATTTCTCTCCCCGTTCTGGTTTTTTGTGCTTGTGTTCAGCTTACCTTTTTTGGCTTTTGAAACTGTACCATACTCTGCTTCAAATTGTTTAGTGGTCCTTCGACGAGACATTCATGCTCCTAAACACAAATATAGCAGCCATAAAATAGGACAGCTAACCACATAAAATAAAAAACAAATAAGAGATCCGGGATAATCCTAAACAAGTCTTTTCTTGGCATAATTTCACAGAGAAAAGTTAATAAATATTTCCATTCACAAATATTTATCATTTTATCAAAATACAAAGCAAGTGAACTACAGTTCTTTATGATAAACATATTGCTCATAATATTAATAGAAACCTCCCAAGGTCATTTCCATTCGATTAAGAAAAGCTTTCTGTTTTTAGTATCAATCTAAAGGTTAAACCAACTCATTGCATTTAACCACATAAAGGACAAACAGATGACTAGTCACAGGACAAGATTAAAAGGTAAGTGCTACTTATATGACAGATAACAATAAGGAATGAGGTTGCATCATCTAAACAGGCTACATTTAGACTTGACCCTAAGAAAAATATACAAAAAATCATATAGAGTTATTCCACTCCATAAAAATGCTTGCAATGAGAAAAGAATAAGGTATTGAAAAAACAAAATTCACATATATACTAGAAATTAAACTATCACAAAGTTAACCCCAATAAAAAAGGATCATAAGATGTTTTTTTTCATTAACTTAAAGAAATCCAGATGAACCAGAATTATGTTATATAAATGAATGTTAAAGCCTGAATGAAAAAGAAAACATGCTATTGAAAAAATTCAACATACTTCAATAGTTAAATGAGAAGTAAACATTTCTGCATAACTGCTAGACCATAGATAAAATAGAAATTACCAAAGGACAAACAGACTTGAATAGCCAAACAAAAGACAGCCCACTGCACTTGACTACCCACCTAAACAGTATGTATCAATGGATAAACCATTTAGAAGATACCTTGTAGTGTGTCAACAAACTATTCCAAAGAGGCTGTTTGCTTAGGACCTTGGGATTCCCAAGTATAACAATGCCATAACGAGCACGAGTTAGTGCAACATTCAATCTCCGTGGATCATTAAGAAATCCAATACCCTAAAAAATACATGTGAAATGTAAGTTCCACAGCCATTAATCTCGACAAACCAATAACTGAATGAACTACAAATGCTGCCACCAACTTCAGAAGAGAAAAATGAGATATCAAAAGGAGAAAAGTTAAGTTGAGAGAGAGAGAAGCTTGAGCATTATATGTACCACATGCATGTTGTGTAAACTTATCAAAAAAATAGGACAATTAACCCATTAGATAAGGTTTTTGGATGCTGAACAAGATATAACCACAGAGCCAATCATAATCAAGCTATGAAAAACAACATAGTTCAGCTAACTAATTAGAATATTCTACTCAAATAAGTATAAGGTATATCTTGTAGTTATAACAAATTTATAATATATTAAGAAACTTTTTCTTTTTTTTGCCATATGACAGTATTTGCAGGCTGACAAAAAAAGAAAATAAGCATAGCCCTCAGATATAGTGTTGTAAATCTATAATAACCTATTTATTTTAACCAAATCAGCTCCAATTTTTTAGTATGAATCTCTAGGATAGGATCCATAAGTTAAAAATTCTATACATAAAACTTATGGATTCACATTGGAATTTAATGAAATATCCATATTTGAAACCCAAAAATTAGATCATTTAGCTAAACATCAGATTATATACTTTATGCTTACGTATTTTCTTTCCATATATGTTTTATATCTTTTAAGTAAAAAATATATCAGGATGATAGTTATTTTGCCATATTTGACTCATAAATGGTTATAACTTATAACAAAGTTAGCATTATCTCTAACTAACATCTATATTGACTGTAAACTAAAGATCAATTTTGAATCCAAACACCAATACCAAATTGTTGATGTTGGTTTGAATAACCTACTAGACCGTTATGATACCAATATACCGGGAGGAATTTCCGATATACTGACTTATACCTCCCGGAATTATTGAATAATATAATAAAATCTAAACACAACTGGTACATGCATCACTATCAAATTGTCCGATTTCAATACCAGTACTTGGTCGGTTCAGTACCAACCAGTTCAACAGGTATTTAAAACTTGTTGTAAGGTACCATTTAAATTAATAAGAATTTGGATTACATCACCTTAGTCAAATTCAACAAAAGCATTGGGAATTGACATCACCTCTAATCTAAAAACAGGAAATTTCATTCGATAGTTCTCATCCACCTTGATTAAAAGATGACCAAAATCTACCTGTGATCTTCTTTCAACATAACAGTTTGGAAAATATAAAATTGACAATGCTTCAAAATATATTTAAGCATAAGTAAATCATTTATTTTAAAATCAAGATATAGATTAATGTAAGATCAGCAGGATTGAAGTCCATGACTAATCGATCAATTAAAAAATTAGAACTTAGTCAATTTCATAAATGCATAAAATACGAAGCTAAATTTTCAAAAACCAACTATAAACACCATACTATTGAAAACATGGGTCACCTGATGTTCATTGCTTCTCACACAAGACAAAATGATGTAATCTTTCTCTCTGCCTTGAAAGGAGTCAACACTTGCAACCTGCAAGTAGCGAACTTGTTAAAGAAAACAAACCAAGAACAGCCAAGTGGCTAAGATTCGGATCAACCTCAATTTCCTTGTAGAGCTGTTGTCTAAGAGCACCATTCCTTGACATGTAATTTACAATATAAGCCCTTTGTCCCTCATATGGCGTAATAACTCCTATCTGCATCATCCAGCCAAATATCAGAGAAAATAATACATATTTTAAATAAAAAACTGGACCAACCGATCAAGAGCACCTGACTAGGTACAACACCACTTCTTAAAAAAGTAGTGACAATTTTTTCAACATTTGCAGCTTCAGTTCTGTTAAGATACGAAGTTCCACTGGCACTAATTTCCTCTTGTCCCATCTAGAAAAAATAAAAAGGCATCTTTAAGTACACAATTTAGACAATTATAGTCAACTAAATTGCTTAAACAGTCAAAATCAAACAAAAAAAAAGAAAATGATCCTAAATATAGTAACATATACATGCTTAAGTTGACTTTTGATATGCATGACCAGCCCTATAAAAAGATAAATTTAGTTATACAATGATCAATTCAGTTATTAAATGCCAGTAAACTAAACATCAAACATAAATTATCCAATAGTACTTGGAGATAACAAAGACTGCACAAATATACATGTTTTACAATTAAAATATTCTGCTGCATTGCTAAATATGCAATAACTAACAATTGATCATCCAAGTAACACATATCTATATGTATATACACATATGTATAACATTACAAGATAGAAAAATAATATAACTTAAATATAAGTTACCTGCACATAGAAGAACATAGGACGGTTGGGAACAGGCCAAGGAAAATCAATGCCAGATGATTGTCTCTCATTAATTGTCACACCATTCTGAAGGGTGCCTTCATAGAAGCTATTAGAAGGAAATTCAGAAAGGGACGGATGCATTCTGTATTGGACCTGAAATTCAATACATGCATAGTAGCTACCTGTTAAGCTTGTAACTAAGGGACAACATATACATAAGTGCAAGTAGGGATCTCAACAAACAATGAAAATTGAACCACTGCAATCAGGTCACCCATACAAATTATGAAAAACAAATACTAAAGAAAAAAGTAATGAAAGAAATAACACTCAAATTACATACCAAAGAGAGTCACTATAAGCATAAAACTTAATTAGATAGAAAATATATATAAGATATTCTTCAGAGCACACTTAGTGAGACACCTATTCATCATTTCCATAGGGCAATAAATGGCAATTTATATAAGAAGCTACATGACAGATGATAGCTTCAGGCAATGCAAAAACCTGTGGTAATTGGGTAAGCAACAACTGCAAAGTTGTTCAACCATTTACTTTTCAGGCAATGCTCAAGTAAATTGGCTTTTGGAGCACAGCTAATTTTCCTATTTTAAAAAAAAGAGTAAAATGAACAAAAAATACCAGTAACAATCTTACACAATTTTCTACTCAACTAATATTATTCTTTTAACTCATTTAAATCACAAAAACGCTCAGCAAGTTGGCAAAGGCATTAGTTGTCGTTCATGAACAACTTTGCTCACATATTTGGATTTCAACTCCCATCCAAAGCATGCTTCAAGCCACATTTTCATTAAGAAAACCTAGGTAACAATGCTGTTCCCTCAGGTGTGTTGCCAAAGAGATTTACCTAGAAAGAACTAAGACTAAGGAAATAAGAATTGATGCTCCAAACTCTATAAAGCTAACAATTGAATTCCCTTCAAGAGACCGATGTGTGATGAACTTCTGAATACAAATAGCTTTTTTAAGTAGACTTGATATAGCATAGATACTGCATCATCTTCATGAGAGAAATAATTAGTTCCTCCTATAGCAAGTAGTCATTTCAATTGTTGGTTACAAACAATCACAAAACATGCTCATTGATATGTTCAAAATATAGCAAAACTGTAAGCCAGTTAAATGTCAACAACAGTGATGTATAATATGCTTAACCAACAGAGGTTTAGACATTAGTTCCTAAAGTATAAATGATGTGGTTCCAAATGATTAGGCCAGAAGAGGTAATCACCTGCAATCTAAATGGTTTGTTTCCAAGAAGCACAAGACGCTCAAAGAGAGACTGTGCTAACCCAGCACGGGCTGCCTTTTTACACATTATGACAGGACCGAGCTGGCAATGATCTCCAACAAGTACAACCTGATGCCAGGAATGACAGCAACGTCAGCAAATAAGGCTATACAATGATGATGACATGCTAATGAAAGCTTCTAAAACCAGCTACCTGTTTGACACCTAAAACTAATGGAATAAGGCACTCAGGCTCTGTTGCCTGCGTAGACTCATCAATAAGAACCTGAAATGAACAAAACCAGGAAAAGCTTAATAGTATTAAACATGTGGAGGACTTAAAATTAACATCAATGTGGGGAAAAAGCTTCTCATCATCAAGATAAGTATATACTGAACACGCAGTCGTTCACCTGGCGGAATCGGAAATTTTCAAGCCTGGGGTCTCCAGCACCAACACATGTGCAACAAATAACATCAGCACTCTGCAATATCTCCCTTTCAGTAGCTCGTTTTAGTGCCTTGAATTTCTTTTCATCACTGCTTGACAATTCACCTACAAATATAATGTTCATCTTCTCACTTCCTTATGTCAAGTAATTATAAGCCCAAATCGAAACATTCAATAACCAATCACACATGCAACACCAAACAGTCACAAGCTTGAAGGATGAACTTAAAGAGCACATCGTTTCTACCAATAAATAATGCCCAAAAGGATATCTTTCGATAAGATGATCGAAGCATAGATTTCAACAACAAAAAGGTATGGAGGACTGGATACTTCAGGTGCCACCAAAACTTTGGTGATTGTATCAAATTATGATAGCAGTTCCACATGGATTCTAGTATTTAATAGTCAGGAATTGATATCTCAGCTAAATATAGCTCATAGAAGTAGGATTCTATAACATGGTTCTGCTTTAAATCATAGTAATAACAAATGATGTATAATTAAACTTTTGGGTCATATGAGAAAAGGTGATAAAATATGGCAAGGCCCAGTGCAAGATGCTCGCTTAACGTATGGCAAGGCCCAGGGTCTGAGGTGGCTTAATGTATGCTGCCTTATATATGCATATAGAGAGGTTTTTCTATGCATCGGACCCTGGCCTTCTAGGTTAAATCGGAAACCTTACCAAGATTTTCTGTTTCATGTCAAAGAAAATCACAATGTACCTTGCTCATCTTTTAACTGCTGCAGCTTATGAAGTTCACTCTTTTCAGATGTATCAAGGTGGCGAACCTACAATGTTATATGATATCCATGTTAATGCATAAACATCTGGGAATGAAGACAAACAAAAAAAATCACAATTCCATCTATACCTGATAGTGAAGTGTTAGATGCTCAACAGGAGACATGACAGCTTCCCTTGATTTAGCACAAAGCCTGACAACCTGAGTATTTGTATAAGGAAAAAAATCACCAGTAAACTCATTCAACTGAAATAAACACATAAAGCTACAATACAAAATTCATACTTCATTCAGTTACAAACTCATCTAACAGTGCCAGAGATCAACAGTCAAAAATTGTCCAAATTTTCATCTTAGAAAATAGAAACTACATTCATGTTATTCTCATTATTAGTCATATTTTAACTATATGTCATTGAAGAAATCAGACTTTAGATGTTGTTTTGTCCATCACTGAAACTTTAATCAAACAATTATAAAGCCATAGCATCATATAAAATGAAGATTTTTTTTCAACAATAAGTCTATGGCACATAGCTCACATCTATAATAGGAAAAGCATTGCCAGATGAGGATGATAAAAAAGTTGGCAAATAAATTAGAAGAAAAGGTACATAGGTAGAAGACAATAAATCATACAATCATGTCACATATCCACATGATTAGTTTACAACCAAAAAGATGGGCAAACAGAAGGCATTTGATGACTTCAAAGAAATGAGAAAGAAGACCACATAATATCAAGTCTGAGGAATTTTGCATAGTCCGCAACATTCCTACCAGAATGAATTTCATGAGCCATGGTATCATATCGATGATTGGTTCCAGTTTGTGGAATACAATTTTTTATATGGCTCAGAGCACCAGCATAATGATGGTAGTTGCAATCATACCAAACAAAAAGGCATATCTACCACAGCCAAGCACTATCAACTATAATCTGATCAAAAGATTGACTAGAAACAGAACCTACATAATATGAATCTGATCAGCTTCATAATTCTATGTCAGATTAAGTTTATATACAGTATGATCGATTATGTTAGTGCTATTACTCTTCACGCAAAATAATTTTTCACACAAATAAATTTCACTTAGAACCACCCCAGCTTTAAGTCACAAATGTCATTTCAATTCCATCTATCTAAAGTTCTACACCGACTGCAGTTCCAATAGTTGAAAAAAAAATTCATTCCGAGACAATTGAGTAAAAGATGACAGATTATAGCAAGACAAAAACATGAAACATGGTATAATGCAGACCTTTTCTAGCAAAATCTTTCAGGAAAAGCATCTGATAATTGAAAATGAATAATCTTCTGACTAGTGGTGGCTTATTTTCGATTGATCAATGTTTAATTTGGAATTCTATCATAGAACAATCTAAGGTCATTAGGAAATAAAGAATGAAACAGGAAAAAGAAGACAGCCAGACCATGAGAGAGGAAGAAGAAACATTTGGGATAAAACAAGGTACACCAAGAAGCATTTCAGCAAACTTTTACACCATAATACTGTTGTTACTACTTGCAAATCAAGCAAACAGAAAGTAGGCAACTGACACCCCTATCATGTCAAACTAAAAATGACTCCTGAATCATGAAAAGTTAGAGAGGACTATGAGTGAAACACAGAGTTCATGAAGAGCACAGAATTATTTACCTTCAAACCAGTTGAGCTTATCTTATCAGCCAATTGGTCAACAGCCACATTACTTGGGGCACATACTAGAACCTAAAATAATGTAAATAAAGAATTTCAAATTTGATGTTTGAGCAACAATGCTTTCTCCAGATTGTTGAATATTACTCCATTACCTGGCCTTGTCCTTGTTTAGCCATGTGATATACAATTGCTGCAGAAGTGTGTGTTTTTCCTGTACCAGGTGGGCCCTGTATCAAACTTATTGGTTTCTGAAGCACACTCTTAACAGCAAAAACCTGTCCACAAAAAGGAAATATATCAAAAGAACCAAACAAAAGATACTATAGATATGCAGCAACATCATATACACAAAGAAATGTATAAGATATTCAAGAAACATAAAGATTTTGACACACAGCACCGACCAAAATGACAAAAAAGAAGAGAACATTGTTAAAATAACTGAATAATCTACAAAGGTGTAATAATATCTATAAATACGAAAACAATGAAAATCAGAATAGGAAAGTGAAACTGCCACAGAACACCAAGCAAAAATATAATAGGAGAAAGTTAAGGCAAAAAGGTGTTTTCTCCAAATATTAGAGCCAGCAAAAAGTGCATGAAAGACAACATTTTCGTACATGCACCTGTGATCTTTACAGTGCACCCATATATTATAAAGTAAAGATAACCACATATATGGTTCCATTCATCAAGTATCTCAAATGCCACCTCAGCAGAACACCTTCACATCTTTAGCTAACATAAAAGAAGTGCATCAATACAACTGGACAATATGATTAAATTGCCAACTTCCTGGGGTTTATCTCAAAGCTTCACAAAAAATGAAAAGATTATCTGAAAACCAAAATGATAAGGGAAGCTCCACTTTTGCAAGATAACATTAATATCTGTTCAAGAATCTCTTCAAATGAGAGATCTTTTTTATTGCAAATAGAAGTATCAATTAAAGAATTTCTTGCCCTGAAAAACATGCCTAGAACCAGTCATTTCCTAAACCACCAGAAGACCAGAGAATACCTCATTTTCTCATCTTGGTTTGCAGAAAGGCATCTGTGCTCTATTGCAAATGAACAAATACATCCCTGACCTTCCTCTATGCATCAAACATGCATCGATGTTGGAACCTCCCAAGCCCAAATTAAACCCTGCTACTCATTAACAAGTGCAGTTGCTCATTGCTACCTAAAACCATGAACATCTGCAAAGACTAATGGTCCAACACCCACCTCATGGATGTGTTTTGATTGATCCTCTCTAGGAAAGTAGTATGATGTTCTGGAGAAAACTATTTAAATTCCTTGTTCCTTTTCTTTCCCTTTTATGCTCTCAAAAGGCTCCTCCAATCTTCTTAGCCCTTACCAGTAAGTTACAATTTGATGGGCTTATCCACCCTTACCTTGAATTAATAAATATAAGCGCACAGAAATAAACAAGAGTAAAGCAGGTATCTGCAACTCCAACATATGGTATTTCGTCCAAGGATTACTGGAATCAAATTCAAGATAAGTTATGAAGCATCAACAGAATAGATACAGTACATATAGATATGCATTACAACAAGAAGCCAAAACCTCCCAATGCACCGATTCATTATAGAGGCAGTTGAATGTTCACTTTGCATTAATAAATTAGACAAAGAAAATTGTAATTACACATACCAAAAATAACAAGAAAAACATACGAGGAAAAACCTACTTGGGATGCATTAAGTTCAGGAAGCCCAGGAGCGCCAAAGCGGCGAGGTAGAGTATTTCGTACTACTTGTTGTTCAACTTCATGGCCCAAAAGGTGATGATATATGTATCTGCACAGGAAGAACCATTATCACATTTCTTGACATAGTTTAGACCTACTCACAAGGAACCAATTTGCAATAAGAACCAATTTGCAATAAGAACCAATTTGCAATATCACGTTTCTTGACATAGGAACCAATTTGCAATAAGAACTCCAAAGATAATTTTGCAGGTAGCTGTGGCATAAGCACACTGATTATTTATATCAAGCACTTCTGGAGAAATCAAGTGCACCATAATATTCCACGAAAATTATGCAAGCAATTTTGAACTTTTTTTTCATTATAGGGATATTAAGTTATAACACCACTAAAATTAGCCAAAATGACTACCAACATTCACAAAAAGAAACAACTTACCCACTGACGCTTGTTTCATCTACAGCAAAAGTCTTCATAGCTCCTTGCATTCGATCAAAGCTAGTACTTTTCCACACAAAATCTACACTAAAACCATGATTCACATCAACAGGGACTCCCTGACAAGGATTTAGAAGGTAAGCATGTTTCTCCAGGAAAAAAATAGAAAACAAAAGAATGCCCAAGAACAAAAACATCCAACCATACCTGGCCTGAACGAAGTTCAAGTGCAACCTCCTCTTGCGAAGTCAGCTTAATCTGTATGGAAAAAACTAAAATATTAACCAATTTGATGAGTACAGAATAGGCATAGAAATCTTAAGGAAAAAATGTTTGAATCTGGTCCAAACAAGTTTTATAAAAACATGCAACCTTCAGCTACTTATTGAATTATAAGCATACCACATGTCCAACAGACTGCCATGCAGGATGTGCTGCATCACCAGAATATCGGAGCCGCAGCTCATCCCCCGGGACAAGCCTTAGTTCATTATCTTCCTATGAAAGCATAAATGCTAATTCAGTTAGAAATATCATGACTGCTAGGTACAAACAAAGACACACTATAAAAACAAGAAATGGCATCAATTACTGCTAAAAACTGAAGTTTCAGAGACAACCTTCGGAAAAACAAAATAGGCTATGCGCTTTTTATTAAGGCCGATATCCCAGCGTATACTGACATTGTCTTTACTTTGTGACTCTTTCATCATCTACAAAATGGAAAACATTTATTAATGACAACCTAATAAGATAACAAGGAAACACCCTGTAGAGAAGTCAGTAATACAGTTAAAGGTAAGCTTACTAACATTTCATACATCTAAACACTACTATAGATTTTGTACACTACATAGATATATTTCTAGGAAGAATGACTCGAAACATAAGTAGATCTATTTAAAATAATAGGTCTATACATGAAGAATAAAATGGATCCAGACTGAATACCTTATCATAATCAGCTTCAAGCTTAATCAGTGGTGCAAATACATTTTGGTACTGGCAAAGAGAAGACAGATCCAGTAAAAAAAGTATGAGTGGCCCTCTTTATGTAATTAGAAGACCAAAAATGGCATGTCAATAGAAGCTATGGACCTGATATGCATCTTCATACTTCAATGAAACAGGTTGTGGTTCATCATCCACTCCTGGCTTCTCAAGATCTTCCAGAGAAGCATCAGGGTTTGTCTTCCAAAGCTCTTCCAGTTTGTTAATTTGCTGAGCACTAATTTGGCGTGCTCTCAATTGTTCCTGTTCTGAAGGGACCTGCAGAAAAACCAAGTAATCAGTAAGTCTATTAGTTGGATGTACAAACAAAAAGAAGTTAAGTAGATTAGCAAACCTTAACAAGCCATGGTAGGAAACACCTATCATCAATAAGAGGACACCATTGACTGAGATCCCAATTCATATCCTTCAGTGCATTGACGCTCAGACATGGTTCTCTGCACAAGAGAACAACAACGCTTTCTGTTTTAGCAGATATAAATCCCAGGAGAAAAACGTTCCGGCATCCACAATTGTAGCATTCAAGAATTGTCTCTCCTAATGGACTGTCCTTGTGAAGACAAACTTCCTTGTGCTTTGCTCGAACCTGAATATCAATAGAAATTAAGCTTCAGGTAAAAAACTGCCAGTATATTACTGAAAGGTGTCATGATGGTAAAATAAAAGGCCAACACATCATAATTCAACAAACTTCTGAAAAATCAGATAAAAATTGCTCATAATATACAAATATTTGAGAGCTGCTTAACTCATCAAAGGATACTAAAGGATGGTATAATGTTTCAACTATATACCAAAATGTTACATTCAGAAAAATAACAATGATTCCGACTGGTGATCATAACTAGAAGCCGATCTGTAGAAAGAGATTATCATATATTTTTTCCACAAGTCAAAGGAAAAAAAATCCTTAACTTTATTTATCAATGACTTCAATAATCCTTAAATCAATAATAGATCAGTTACCAAAACACTATTAATTACGTCGACTTGATGGCAAAATAGTTGACATAGCATAGAGAAGCATATGGTAACTAAATGGTAAATAGTCTAACTTAATTAACAGCCAGAATATGATTGGCCAACTACAAATTTTTTCCAGATGGAACTTGACAACAAAAGATGGAACTTGACAACAAAATATGCAACAGAGACAGAAGGATAGGTCATGATACATGATAACTAAATTTCACATTCCTCCAAATCCAATTAAACATATAAATAAAATGTATCAGGCAATGACGCTAGGACATCATGTTTCCAGCCAAACAAGGATATATTCAGAAATAAGAGGATACACAAAAACTAGCCTGGAGCATGAAGCATCCTATATTAAAAGAATTTTGACAAAAGATCAATAACAAGTTGTGGTTATGATTTCTAAAGAAAAACCTCAAAATTCACATTAATAACCTGAAATTGAGAACCTAATTTTTTTACTGTGTTTTCTGTAGCAATTGTTTGAGATGTGGCATGCGGAACTATCAAGAAGGAAGGAAAAATGAACTAATCAAATCTTTAACCACGCACCAGATGATTGACGATATGGGACCCTGAGGTGTTACCCCTCGAGTTACAGAACCACTTCCTACACGTTGGAATGTTACACCTCACAACGCACGCTGGATTCTGCACCCCACAATATCGGCAGGCGTGCTCTGTGAAATTCCCCTTTCCGAACTCGTAATTCTCATCCCCAGTCTCGTCGAAGTTGAGCCCGCTCATCCCGGCTTCAAGGGCATCAACCGCGTCAGCCGCCTGGCTGCCGCCGGAGACGCCCCTGGCCTTCGAGGATGACGAGGGGCCCGCGGCGGGAGCCGTGGCGGAGGGAGAGGAGACGGCGTCGGGGTTCTGCAGATCGGCGGAGGGGGAGTCAGGCGCAGTCTCGGGGGGAAGATGAGGAGGCCAGGCAGTGGATCGGGACGGCTGGGAGAGCTCCCGGAACGCCGGGTAGTCGTCGAACTCGTCCTGGGTGTTGAACTCGAGGAAGGTGTAAGCGTCACCGCTGGTGTCCGGTTGCGACGCCGTCTCGTAGAGGTTGTTCACCGACTGGGCCGCCATCGCTAGGGCTAGGGCTAGGGCAAGAATTCCGGTTAGCGGCTCCAATTGCTCGCCCCTCACTTCGGATCGATCGTCGGGACGGGAGAAGGCGAGTGAGAGGACTCGGGATTAGGGTAATGTGAGTACGAGCGCGAGAGAGAGAAAGAGAGACTGCTGAGTTCTATTAGAAGAATAGAAATAGAAACGTAACATTAAAGAAATAATTGGGGGAAAAAGACTGGTTGGTGATGGATTGAGTAGAAATAATAAGTTGGGCCGAGATGGGCCGAGCCGGGTTTGAACTCGAACCGGTCGCTATGCATTAATATGTTATCAATGGATACGAGTTCGATGCTTCGGAATGTTACGGATAATGATGATCAAGTTGTAAGAGCTCTTGATCTACTCATATTATGTAACTTATTCTCGATCTACCCACCTTGGACTGAAATTTAAATGTCGACCTATTCATATTGAGTAAACTACCCCAAGTTTGGATAATCTATTCATCTCAAGCAAATTCTTATCTGAATACCACCTAATCATATTTAACAAGTTGGCTCCATGTTTGAGGTATTTATATTCATAAAGGACACGTCAATTGTTAAGATACTTTTTATTTGCGGATGACGTATCAAATGCCTTAGATGCACTCATCCGTCAAAAGATGCATCACATGTTAAAGACACTCATGTCCATGAAGAATGTGTCGACTATCGAGATATATATGTATTTTTTATCTATAGAGGATACATAATATGTTTCAAATGATCTCGTCCACAAAGGATGAATCACACGTTAAAGACATTTATATTCGCGAAGGATGCATCGAACATTGAAATGTTTTTGTTCATGAAGGATGCATTGGGCGCTTTAAATGTTTTTGTCTATATAGAACAATTTTGATGTATTTGTTTGCCAAGTACATATTATATTTTAAATATGTTTATATCCATGAAGGATGAGTCTGAACGTCACGATGCTCTTGTCCATGAAGGACACATCCAATGCTTTAAAAGTTTTGGTCCATAAAGAACACTTCAAATACTTTTGTTCAAAAATGACGTAACACATATGTGTTGAAGATATTTATGTCCATGAAATACTTATTAGATATTGGATGTTTTTATCCATGATGAATGCATCAAAGGCTTTAGATACTTTTGCCCGTAAAGAACATGTAGGGCATTAGGATGTTTGATCATGTTGTCATTAAAGGAAGTGATTTAGACTATTTTGATCACATTGTCATTAAAAAAAAATGATTCAAATTATGTTAGTCATACCATCATCATATCATAGAAAGAAGTTGCGATGAGTTCTTATGCCAACTATGAATCCTGGACACATTTGGCAACTGATAGTTTATAGCAAGAGCACAAACACATTTGATTTAATTTATGAAATATCCTTAATTTGAATTCCAATCTTACCATCATCATGTCGATCCAAATGGCTAACCATAGAAACGAACAAACATAAATGAATTCATACATCTGCTGCAGTCTCTGATTCGTGGAGATGACAGGAACAAGTTGATTATCAACTTGCAATTTCTTTTCCGATTAAAAATGCAAAAGTGTATGTTCGTCTGATCAGTGAATCCAATCGATGGGCGATCTCTGATTGCAGGCTAAAATTGCTGATTATTTTCCTTGGTAATTAATGTTCATCAATAAAGTGATGTAGACAACTCATGATGACAAGGCCATCAATTGCAGCAATCATAATTGCTGATCGGTGGTAAAGGGTGCGTTAAGAACGACGCATAACGGCTCTCCCGTCGCAAATGGATATGGCCGATGAATCCGATCAGCGCCGTCCGAGTTCGGGGAAGGATCACGTATATCTCGGCCGTTCGAAGCATGCCCAGTCAATCCGGGCCGTTGACCTCGATGTCTTCGTCATCGTGATGGTTGACGTGTATGGTGGAGTGGGCCGAGTTAGGTGACGCACTTGGTTACGCCTCTCCTACTGTGACGTGGATGGCTCCATTATTAATGCATGAGGTAAAGCTGATGTGCGTGTGCTAAGAAATCGTAATATAATATAAACCGACATAATACGTATCGTCTCTGTTTCTTCACAGGACTGCAAACGTAAAGCGTCTCTTCCTATTGGGTGTCGTATGGATCCTTATCTACACCATCAACATCGATACCACGACCGCAGCTCCCGTCCAACCTCTGCGAGGAATCCCACGGCCACCGCGGAGAGCATAGCGATGAGCAGATGACGTCTCCGACTCGACGAGCTGGCTGAATCGGAAGTCTGGGTTTGACCCGTACAGGGCCTGCGCCCCCTCGACGTCGTCCGCCCGCAGCTCTACCTTCTTCATCCTCGAGCTCAGGCTGGGGTACATCACCGCCTCCTTCACCGCCGAGTGGCCGAGGCCGAGCACGTGCCCGATCTCGTGCGTCGCCACCGACTCCAGGTCCACGGCCACCTGTGACTCCTCCTTCCCCAAGTCCACCGCCCACCGCTCCGCCGCGTCCAGGTGCAGATTGCCGCTTTCCGGCGAGAACGCGTGGGCCAGGATCCCCAGCACCCCGTCGAAGGGCTCGCCGTCGCCGTGGTCGCCGCTGTAAAACCCCACCTTGACGTCCGCCACTTCGTACTCCGCCGACTCCACGAACCGCACCGGGATCACCCTCGCCCAGCGGGCGAAGGATCGCCGGAGCGCAGCGGCGATGTTGGCGCGGCTGATGTAGTCGATGGTGTGCGCCGGTGATACGGCGTAAGTCAGCGTCAACGGCTTGGACCCGGTCCACCTGGGCCGACCGGTGAAGAACGTGAACCGCTCGATCGGTCCGGTTTGATTGGACCGATTCGCAATCGGGTCGGGGACGCCGCACCGGGGGGTCATGATCTGAGCGAGGGTGGTGCCGTCGAGCTTGCCGGTGATAGGGAGGCCGAGGTGGGCCTGGTAGCGGACGACGGCGGCCTCAAGCCTGGCGTCGAACGAGTCGGAGAGCTGCGTCGGGTATGGCTCGGGGAAGTAACCGAACCGGGCGAAGTACCGCTTCAGGCCGGACAGACCGTTGGCGTGGCTACCGCGTCCCAGGTCGAGGAAGCGGTGGAACGAACCCCACGTGTCGTTTCCAAGTCGGGGTTGGAGAGCAATCGGGTGCTTCGCATGTTGGAGCGGATCGGGGAATGGTCTAGAGTAGGTAAAGGGGAAGAAGAGGAAGAGAGGGAGAAGAAGAGGAGGGAGAGAGGGCATGGGAAGGAGAGGAATTGGGATTGGCTCGAAGAAGATGAAGGGGATGAACGAATGGCTCAGATTTTATGGTTCCTTCGGTCGGTCAGCTCAAGTTTTGGAGTTGAGAACGGGGGATGGATACCGTGCTGACTTGTCTTTGACTCTTCCACGCGCTGATGCATCATCGCCTATCGAAGCTTTTGTGGGTGCCTCTTTGCTGCTTTTACGATGTAACCACTGCCTGCGAGGAAGAAGACTGTTGGATTTGGTCATGTCTTTGGCTCCTGTTCGAGCGGATCTTTGGTATTCGTGGACCACTCACTCCCAAGTCTCTTCCAACCCACTATAAACTGTCTGCACACATATTCTATGATATCTTCTAATGGACTGGTCCCAGGAAGAACAAACCCGGAAGGTTTCTCGCCACCCTTTGAGTTGGTGTCCACTGCTGGGAAGAAAGTTATACGCTTTTCTTTCGTTGTCAACGATGCCTCCTCCTGGAACATACGGCCAAGACACGAGACCTTATCAGGAAAGGAGGCATCAGATTCCCAAACGGAGGACGAAAACTCTAATCCATGAAGTTGCATGAAATTGCACTCTGAATAAGCAACATGATTCGACGTATATAAATTCATTGTTCAGTCGACACTTGAAATTAAGCAGTCCATCTCGCTTACAGATGTTAAGGTTGAGGACGGTAGTATGTCTTAGGAAGATCGATTAGTATCTTGTTCGGTACAGTAGGAAATGGTAAGGTCGATGCTTCCTTATGCGTCATTAGTTTACAAAGCTAAATCCCCAGGAAGGAGAACAGTGTCTTGATTTATTAGAAGAGAAGGGTACCTAAAACAACAGAGACGATCGAAGTGGCACTACTACTACTACTACTACTATTATTACTACTGCTTGTTCTAATTAATGCTACTCCCGACCTCCTCGTGCCACCCGGTAAACCTCTGTTCGGGGGCTCGGAACTCGTCCAATTGCACCAGGAATGGCGCACCCGGCGGCGAGGTATCCTTGGACGAGGACATCGACGTGCCTGCCCCAGCAACACCGGTGCTGCAGCCGAGCCACAACCCTGTCTCCGCTGTGATGCGTGTCATCGGGAGAGGCGGCAGGTGCATCGTCACCGGTGACTCGTTCTCCGGCTTGCTGAACAAGATCGTTTCGCCCTTGGCAGTGTTGGCGCCGGCGGGCGTATCAGTGGATGCGTCGCTACTGTTGTTATTCTGAGTCTGGGTTGCGGTTTTCGCCGACAGGTCGTGGGACTTTCTCCGGCGACGGTTGTGATCGGCCAGCCTCTTCCGGCAGCTCCGTTTTCCCTGGTCGAACTCCATGAGGACATGAAACCTGCACTCACATGCGCCGTCGTCACAGTGAATTCGAGCTTAAATCTCGATGAAATGATCGGTGGAGTGGATCCAAAACCTGCTGCATTGTTGGCAGAAACGCTGAGAAAGGCCGGCGACGATGACAATCGAAGCTTTCGAGTGGAACTCGCACACCTTGTGGCGGCGGTGGTAGTGCTTCGCGTGGGCGAGGTCGATCCCGCATCCCTCAGCCTGGCACCGAGCTGCGTGGGCCCGCCGCCGCCTGCAGACTCGCCCGACCACAATGCCAGCCTCCTCTGCGGGCGAGAAGTAGGTGCGCACTCCAAGGTTGAGCCCGATTCTTGCCGGCAATGGCTGGAATGGCATCCCATACCGCTCATGGCACGTCGAAGAGGTGAGAGACGATGACGGGAAGAGCGCCGCAACCGTCAGAGGCTGTGGGTGTGGGAAGAACTCAGCGATGCCTCCACCGCCAAGGCCATGGCCGCTGAAGTGGTCGAACACCGGTGCATGTTGCTGCCCATTGTCACGGCCACCGTTCTCCTCGTCAAACAACAGCATGGCTGCCGCCGCAGCTGCCGGATTCCCCCATTCGTGATCCAACATCATCCTTACCTTGGGTCTACTCACTATTCACTTATCTACCATCGACCACTAAGGAGAAGAATCGAGTGACCAAATCGATTCCATAGAGCGAACGAATCACGCAGGCAAGAAGCAAATGAAACTTGGAGCTCTCTGTGTGCCACACTCTCTGCACCGGAAGCATGTAAATTGCAGTATATATAAGTGCATCATTTACCACGTTCACTGGAGGAAGCAGAAAGTTACATTTCACGAACCTCGTTTAATGGCTGCAAGATTGGAGTAATGGATGGAAGGAATCAGCCGCCGACGGCCCCTCTCCATCGGATACTTGCGCAGACACACTTGTACTGGCTTTCACAGCAAGGAAGCTCGTATGAAGTTTCATCCCGTCGTGTAGCCCGTGGCCACGCTCCTCCCTCTGTTTGGTGCCCGGCCATCTGATGTGCTGCTGCTCCCGAGTCTGGCGTACGGGATCACGGGACGGATGCGCCGGGGCTTGTCCTCATGCAGCCGATGACGCGATCGGGGGCACGTGTGGAGCGATGGCGACGCGATCGGCAGGGATGAAGACAGTGGAAGTGGAGGGACCGTATCAGTCACTGTGGATTGAACTTTTCATTGTGCCTTCGTCCGAACAAACCGATCATATCATGGTCTAGATATTGAAAGTGTTGTCTGTCCGCTGATACGCTTCAGTAACAGTAGCAAATCAGTACCCTACGCGTGTCCCGTATGTTTGGACACCTCCATGATATTTGTACCATACTCCATAAGAAGGTGCTAATCGAGGATTGATGGTGGTAACCTCAATTCTCTATCCTTGTCATTGCATTAAACATTCAAAATGATAATATTAAAAATATTTATGTATATTATTTGACCATCAATGAGCTATGAGATCATGTGCTGAATTGAAAGAGTTATAATTACGATATAATGATGTTATCGAGTTAACATTCTTATCAACGTTACGTTCGTTCGTAGTAATTACGATGTAATGATGTTATCGAGTCAACATTATGTCGATATCCTTATCATATTAATGACCCGTAGTAGTTACGATGTAATGATATTATTATCGTTCGATGTAATGACCTCATAGGATCGATCCCATCTGATATGTCGATCAAATGAGTAGCAACTCCACAAGATTTTGTTTAAGTTGTCTTATATTCCCTAATTGTTGATTGAGTTGAAAATTTCTTCATCTGTTAAAAAAAACAAAGATTCATATTTGGGATGTGAGAGAAACTGTGAACCAGTTGGAATCAGTCCCATATTTTGTCCAATAATAAACCAAGCAGACGGAGCTAAACACCAAAGCAAAACAAGCAATTTAAGATAAGGAACAATGTACATTTAGTAAGATTTGGTACTGTTCTTGAAGTAGCTCATAGCTTTCATCACCGATATCATCCAAAAGATATATTACATCCATTAGGGTTTTCCATCATGTCACTGGCGATGACATAGCGAAACCTCGTATCGTAAGGCAACCACTCGATGATCTGCGACGCCTTCCTCTTGCCGCTGGAAGCCACGCATCTGTGGATCGCCTCGTTCATCTTCCTGTCGACCACTGCTTCATGCACCCACGCGAGAAGCTTCTCACAGCCGATGCAAGTTTCCTTGGCGTATCTTTCGAGGACCCTGGGGAGGAAAACCCTGCTCGACTTCTTGACCATGACATGGGCCTGAAGGAATTCCTGCTTCGCCTTCTCCAGCTCCTCAATGACATGCTTTGCGGTGTAGACGCGGAGCTGCAGGTGGATATCATACGTACTGTAAGGAGAGAGAGAGAGAGAGAGAGAGAGAGAGTACTGTGAAGGGGGAGGTGGATATGGTACGTACCATGGGATCCGAGAAAGCTCCGATGCAGAGGGCAAAGAAAACAAGTGGCTGACAGCTTGGAAGACCGACCTTGGAATCGATGAGCTGCTTCTCTTCCCCGTGTTTCTTCCTCATGGCGGTCGACAGGATCGTCTCTAACCACTGTAACCATAACACGAGAAATAGGAAGCTTCAACATCTTGGAATAACAAATAGGATCGGCTGCATACATGAGTTCTATTAACAATAAAGCTCCTATTATCTCACTGATTATAATAATTATAAATATTTTTTAAATAATTATATTATAATTTTTAATATTAAAATATATCCGCATAAAACTCGTACCGTCTTCATCTTATATTAGTATAAGTAATAACTCTAATAAGAATCAAGCAGATCAACTTAAAAAGACATGATGATAGGAGTTGAGATCATACACGACCCATTCGAGATGTCCGACAACACAGTAGGGAGTACTCAATGCAGTTTGCAGTGATGATTTGGCCTCCGATGGTATAGGCAGCCTGCAAAATGTCAAATATGCCATTATCTTGATATGAATTGATGAAAATAAAAAAATCAAAAGAATAGTTTATTTGAAGACAGCATAAGAAAAAAATAATTATCTATGAACACAACTTTGGTCATGTCAATCATATGAAATCATGTAAAATTTCAAAGATGATACATATAATTTTACCTTCTAATTCACTTATAATAATAGCTATCATTCGATGACTCATTAATAATATTTATATGGGAGAAAATGCTCAACACCTATATGAAAGAAAGAGGTTAACGATAGAAAACTATTATCACTGTATACTATTGAGATAATTCAAATTATAAGAAAGAAATTAAAGACCGCTCAGAGTTGTCTATATTGAGTCTCAGATATCTCTTCTTCTAAAAGTATGATAAGATTTGAAAAGAAAGAAAAATTAAATTCTAATTTTTTTTTTCTTTTGAACATCCTTTTATCTATCCAAATTCTAATATAATATTTATATATCAATCCAAACTTTTAGAACATGTATCAGTACCTTGTTAAACAAAGAAATCCTTCTCAGAGAACTACTTGGAATCCCATACACCAGATAAGCCTGCAAAGAGATGGCATCCCCAGTTAGTTCATGTTAGATCAGTATGAGGCAAGTTCCTACATCACTCCTCACTAGTCTGCAGGACTTACATGCATTATGAGAGCATTGTAGACATTGATCCAAAACGCCAACTTCGCTCTGGTCTCCAACACACTCACATCCACTCTCTCCAGCTGTTCCACCAAGAACCTGAATCAAACCCGGGAATGTGTTAGGGAGATTGCTGAGAGTCATGCATTCATGACGATCTTAGTGCAAACCTGTAGTTGCTTGTTGCATAAGACGCTGGTGGGCATCGCTTGTCGATGGAGAGCGAAGGTACTTCGACTGTGGATCTGCTGAGCCATTCCTGCTCCTCTGCAGTCCCTCTTGTAGACGATCTTGGCAAGAACGGAGAACGAGGTTTACCGGGCTTTTCGGATGAGTCACAGCGGATCAAACAGTATATAGAAGCCATGCATCTGACCATCTCTTCAGAGATTCTGCAGGGGCACTGGTAGAGATGATCTTTCAGAGTTCGAGCGAAGTGACTTCTTCCGGAAGTGGATAACTTCTCCTGGGAAACAAATGATGCATTAGCATCTGAATGCTAAAGAATTGGATTATAACATGACTGGAAATTTGGAACGGAGGAGATCAAAGAAGAAGAAGAAGAAGAAGAAAAGAGATGGCTTCAGATTATGTATTGAGATCTGAATGTCCTGACTTCGGGATGATCTAAACTAAGTAAATGAACTCTTTACATAGGCAAGGCTGAGTGCATTGACTGTCGTGTAAATTGCTCTATCATCAGCAACAAATAGATTCGTAAGTCCTAAAAGTGAGATAAGGTTATTTGGTGATTGATTGTACCTTCATAGGATCTTCAAAGTTTCTTCTGGCATAGAGTTTCATGTCTTCTCTGGCCAATGGTTCATGTCCAACCTTGGGCTTGAGCAGAACGTCACTCCGCCGGGACTCTTTGATCGAAGCCAGCACTTGAAAAGGTTGCAACCGGAACTTCTTGGAGGAGCAGAAGGAACTTGATATTATGCTGGGATGCTTCCGAGCTCCTCCGCTCTTGGAGTGTGCAGGGGAAGCCATGCCTGAACTGTGAGCCGATGTAGGCTGGCTAACACACTGATCGAAGATGCTTCTGTAGAGGGACAGAACATGTTGCTCTCGGTTTGATATCTCTTCTTCGAGCAGCTCGATCTCTGCGATCAGTTCCTTAGTCTAAAGCAAAAACATGTGCGAGGGATCAGAGAGAAGGGTAGAAGAAACTCCCAAAACTGGGAATCATAACATGCATTACTCACTGGGAACAAGAAACACATAATTGGTGATACAAAATCCACCATGAATGGCTTGTCCATGTTTTAGATTGTACACTCTGTAATCATCCACTTCAGTTCTCTCTTATCCAACAACAACAAAATGTCCCCTATTTGAGATTTCTCTTTATGAGTTGGGCTGAGTAATACAAACTCAAAGTTGAATTCTAGCTAATCTTCTCAGAGGAGCCATGCAGACAATTAGATGGATGCAAAATGACATTTTTCACATAGTAGTTGCATGAACATGGAAAACTTATATGGTGTAGCCTTAGATCTGCTTTTCTACAATCTAATAAATCCATTTACTGAATCCTCATCACACCTGAGCTGAGAAATGCCTGTGTCCAGGTGACAAAGTACTAGAAGCTCGGCCGATTGCCTTCTCCAGCAGAAAGCGAGTTGATTTCTCTTGATGCAAATGCATCTGAAGTTGTTTGATCTGCCAAAATACAGAAATCCATCAATTGCTTACCCTCTAACTATGCAAAAATATTAATCCCAATTAAAAAGCCAATGTACATGAACATGAACTGTAGAGCAGAAGGCAAGAAAGCAAAGAATGAAGTCATTACATCATCTTCCAAGGAGGCTCTACTACTTAGTGCAGCATTCCTGGAATTGTCACTTGAATTCTGATGATGAGAACCTTGGCTTCCATGAGACTTCATCATGTTCAAAACATTCTGTGTACCCTGGAAACACTCAAACTGATAAGGTAATAACTCAGCTTTATAAGCATCTTCATTCAATCTTTCTTTGAAGAAAGTGATTACATCTAGCTCATGAATAATTTTCCTTAAAAGATACCTGGCATTCTGCCATGCAGTTTGATTTTCCATGTTTGGTGGGATCCAGATTTCTATCAGAGGCACTGAAAGAAAAATAATCATTTTATGAAATGTTAGTTCTGGACAGAACATGGATAATTACACAAACCAAACTTACCTAAGATCTCTGAGAAATCAGGGCTGACAAATTCATTCCTCAAACAAATTGATCTCAAGGTCCATGATCTTTCAAGAACATCATAATGCTTTTAGATTGAAGTTATCTTGAAGTGTCTAGAGTTCAAGGAAGGAGAAGTATGTCTATAAACTATGTTAGTTTCCTAGAGCTTAGATTTTCTTTTTTTTCTACTTATATTTAATAAGGTTTGTTGTTAAGAGTAATATATAGCATGTAAATTCTTATTTGAAACTACAATTTTAGATTAACAAATGGGGAATTTTTAAGCCTAAAGGTGAAGCTACAAGGTTATGATATAATACAAATAGAGAAGGTGACTTTTTTGTAGTGTTGAGAGTTAAACCAACATCATGTGCCATTGTTTTGTTGCTTAGGAACTCACAAGAGAAAGCAATATATTGTTGCCAAAAAGATCTTCCAATGCCCCCATTCAGCAGCTTTATTGCCATAAATCTCAAGGCAACTTATTTAACAAGCATTAGGAATATCCATATTAGAAGCTAAGAAGTACAAGGACAAATGAGTGTCACATTTATACTGAGGTCTCCATGTCAAACTTCAGACATCATTCAGAGACTCATGTTACCAAATTATCATGTGGTCATTAAATTTGAGGTACTGTAAGTGGGAAGCCAAAGAGAACCACTTGGATACTTTTTGCTGCAACTCTACCCTATAAATCACCAAATTAGAAAGACCTTAATATTAGGCTGCATGAGAGGACAGTAAAACCAGGAACTGTGCTTCTTGTCAAAGCATGTACTAATCTGAACATGTTTTTAGGCTATCGTGCCTAATATTTCTTGAATAAATCTAACAAAGATTTCTTCCCTCAAAGAAGAAAAAGATAGGGAGATTATTCATGAAAATATGAAAGAGAAAAAGGGAAAGAAATCCATCAAACTCCCCTTGAAAAACTACCTCTTAGAGCGCCTGTGGTGGGAAGTAGAGGCAGAAGACAGCTTAGAGACAGAAGCCACGCATCCCTCGTTCTTCACATCCATGGCGACGGCTTCTGTACCTCAAATCATTCCTCCCACAACTTCAACCTTCCTCTTCTCCGTATCCTCCTCTCAGATATTGGAAGAGAGGCATTCAAGACCAGAAGCAGCAGCAGCGATGAGCGAAGCCGACGGTCTAACACATTCTTACCGAGTTCTCAACAGGAATATCAGACACGGGTCCTCCTCGACATGGCATCAGCCTACCAACTAGAAATCGACCATTAAGGAGTTTGTCCTCTTGTCGTTCCTCTTCAATGTGGGCTTGCTGTTAGATGCGTTGGCCAGAGAGAGAGAGTGTGTGTGTGTACACAACGAATGGAGCTTGTGGTTATGAGGACGACTTGGATGACCACAGTGGAAGGAAGAGAGAGAGAGAGAGATCACAGTAGGATTGGCGGAAGGACTGAGTGCTGCAGGGAAAGAGGGGGGCCAGGGGGCGTTGGAGGAGTAATGAGGAGAGTAAATGTCACTGTTCTCTTCCCCTGTGCTCTTCTGGTGCTTCGTCCCGTCGCTTTTACTATGTAATGGAGGAACAGGAAGCGTGGTCGCCATGACCGCGAGGGAAACCGCGACAGGGACGACCGTGGGGGCTTTGAATTCTCCCAGGTGGATTGACCATCTTCCCATATACGTGCAGTGCAACAGGACCACTCCTTTCAACATTGACAACTATATTTCAAGTCATAATATAACCAAATTAATTGGAAAATAATATTACTTGAGAGGTAAAAAAATTTAAGTAGAAAATTCCTTAAAATTTAATATCTTGTAAGGATGATTTCCCTAAAAAATTTTACTTTTTTGAGTTTTTTTTCGCAAGTATCTCGTTCTTCCATTTTTCTATTAGATGTTCATTTTATTTTAAACATATCTTGTGACTTTGTTTTACATTAATTTTATTCTAAATATCTCTCGTGACCACTCATATCTCTTTTATCCCTTCATCATAGTAATGACAAACAATAACGTAATTAAAATAGTGGTTGTGCAATTAAAGCAAAAAAGCTTTCATTGAGGTGGAAATGATAGAGCCTCGCAAAGGGGATAGAAGCAACGAGACTAAAGTAGTGGGGCACAAACAATGGAACCTTGTGGAAGCCAGGTTGATAATGTCTACTAGAATATAGAGATAGCAATGACAAGAGATATTTAGGATATTATAGAGAAAAGGAATATTCCAAATGAGAAAATAAAAAAAATTGAAACACCTTTCGAAAAATCTCAAAAAGAGTTTTTTTTAATAAAAATGATCCATTTAGTTATATTTTGAATGAGAAATAATGTGAGAAGATCTAATATTAGGTTTACGAGAGATATGCAAATGATTTTCTCATTTGGTATTTATTTTTTTACTCTAAATATCCCTCTCATATATCTTCTGACAGTGATCACAACAATAATGGTGTGATTAAAGTGATGAAGTATCGATAGAGATGACGAAATTAAAGTAAAAAGATAGGACTGATAATGCATCACAGAATAACGAGATTATTTCAAGACGATCAATCATGTCCATCGAAATGAAAAGATAGTGACAACAAGAGACATTTAGTGTATTAGAGGAAAAAAAACACCAAATAAGAAAATAAATAATTAAAATACTTTTCAAAATTTCTCATATATATATATATATATATATATATTATAAAAACCATCCATTTAGTATGTTTTGATAGAAGAAGAATATGAGAAGATCAATTTTAGTTTCATCATAGATATGCGAACAAGAAAGCTATGCACGCAAATGCAAATGTTAGTCCACTTGTACACATTTATGGATGGCTTTACCTGAAGAGTTGTGTGTTGTTTCACCTACGATGCCTGAAAACCTAGCAATAGGTTGCTTCCAAACAACGAAAAGCCATTGATCTACTTATACGTATGTCTATCATTGCCCTCTTTCATATGTTGCTTAGAAGATTTCAATTGCATGCTTAGCACTCACTCAACGCTTAAAAGGAAGCACATCGGATTTTGCTATAATTCACCTAATTAAGCTTTGTCATTAATCGGAATAAGGATTGTAATCAACCGATAGGGCGGGGCTCATTCTTCTATCTCCCCCGAGTCACCAACCAGGAAAATTAAGCGTTTAATTGCACCCTGGAGTAGGGACCCCAGCAATCAACCGTGGGCCCAACGTTGTCAACCGGCGACAAGCCGACCTTATTTGTTCGGTGACGTGGTCGAGACGCAGGATCAGTATGAGCGACTATAGTCATCAGCACACCACGTCAGAAAGCTCTTGCTCACGTGTTCTCCCTATCCAATATCATTATAATGCACTCCGTATTGATTATTAGATAATTATCTACAAATTAATGTATTAATAACCATAGAACATTTAATTATCGAATTATTAATACATGATTACCCCCCCGCAAGTCTTAAGACCACATTGCTGTGTGAAGCCCGCATCTGAGGCACCAAACTGTGGTCGGTGCGATGGGAGAATCGACGCCTCCATTTCGCGTCGGAAACAGAGAGGATCGTGATGGGCCGTCATGATATTTAACGGGGTTAGAGGTAAACAATGGATCAGTCGTCCACGTCACCGTCAAGTCAAACCCCACCTGCGCACGTTATAACGTCCGTTTTGCCGGGCCGACCTTTCTGGTTTGCATTGGTTTCGTTCGTCTCGTTCTCTCCTCTCCCAACTACTCGTCCTCCGCGCTCTCCTCCTTCAATCCGCCTTTCTCTCCTCTTTTGGTGTTTTGGTTTGATCGCGATCCCGTGGATCGGTTTTGTTATGGTCGCGTGAGTTGCGCCGAGAGATGGGAGACGTCGGAGGAGGAGTTTGTACGGGGGAGAGCGTCGGTGGCGGGACCGACGTCCGGAGCTCGTCCGGCCCCGCGGCCGCGGATCACCTCGTCGTGATGGTCCACGGCATCCTCGGGAGGTGGCGGTCCTCTCTTAATTCCGCTTGGATCGTTCTCGTTTTGTCGTTTGTTCTTGGAATTGGATTTCTGAGCTGCGGTCTCTATTTGGATTTGGAATGGAATTGAATGTTCCGAGAGGAATTCGTGGAAAAGTTTTGTGTTTCGGGTAATGGCTTTCCTGGGCGTGTGGATGCTGACTTGCTCTCTTCTTTTTTCTCTTTCAGAATTGTGCTGCCGTGATTCTTGTTGTGAATTGTCCTGAAATCCTTTTTCTCATATTGTTTTTTTCTTCCTTTCTGATCCTTTTATAATTTTAGACAGTATTGAGGTTGATTTTTTTTCTCTCTTCTACCTCATGTCTTCGGTTAAGATGTTCTGAATTCTTTTATTAGAAAAATTGGAACTTTCGTAATTGTAGTACAAGGAATTGTAGTAACTTGAGCAACAAAGTGAATGAAATTTAGAGGCAAGACTTTAGCTTGTTATGGTAGAGCTTGAGAGAAGGGTGATTAGAGCTGTTAAGTTTAGGGATTGGAGATTCATCTCCTATATGTTAAATTTTCCTTTCTTTGCACAAGTCACTATCGTCTCTGCATGTAAAGGAGGATTAAAAGATGTTTTGTTCTATAATTCTGGAGAGAAACAATAAAATAAGAAATAACTAGTTTCATCTGCACTCTTGCTTGTTGGAGAAACATCATCTACAACCATGTCTTAAAAAATATATAGTTTTATGTTAATTAAAGTAATAATTGGTCAGAATTTTCAACTGAAGTATTTGTTGCATTTGTAGCCATCCCTATCTGGATTTTTATTTAATTCTTTAATCTGTTATATAGCATGTTTGGTTCTATATTAAGCAATGGTATTCAACTAATGGTTGCAGCACTGCTGACTGGAAGTTTGCAGCTGACGAGTTTGTTAAAATGCTTCCAGATAAAGTGATAGTTCATTGTAAGTTATGCATTGGCAATTTTTTGTAGGCTCCTGAGTTTGTTTAGTTATTCTGCTGTTTTTAAAAGTAATGTCAGCTATTTGCTAGTGATGGTGGATCCACTTTCATTCATTTCTTGAGATTGTAGTTTCTGTGACATGGGGTCAAAAGTGTGATATTTTGTTTCAACATTTTTTATATTGTTACATAATGTGCTGTAGAAATTTTTTTGGTAATAAAAATTTTCTATCGTTGGGACTTATGGTTTTGTTGTTGTTAAATAAAAATTTCATCGTAGTTTGAGAAGAAAATGAGCTGTTAAAATTAGAGTTATTTCCTGTCCTTTGCGATTGATCCAGGTTTTGTCTCTGCATGAATGAGCAGTGGCCCAGACAGAATCTTACTTGACTCCGTCTTCACGGTGATGAATGTCCTCAAGCTGAATTCTTGGCTAGATTTCTAGATAATCAATGGGTTTTATTCCAACAATCATCATGTAATAAATGTGAAATTCTTGGTTAATGAAGGCTATGAAGCTATTCTATTCTCATAGATGAACATACTATTTTAGATGATAATCATTTTAACCTACTGATTGGATTATGATATCCAGTCTAAATTACTCAAAGCATGTTCCGACTTAAAAATTGGAGCTAGTGTAACTTTCGTTTTAAACATTCTTTGTGAAAAATCTGGGCCTTTGGTAGAACTTCTCTTCCATATCTTTTTCATGAGCTCATAATTCATATCTAAAGGTTGTTTAATAATTCTGTGTAGACAACGTTTTGTTTTTGTGGATGCCTCGTCCCATAGATGTAGTGAACCACATAATAGCTTTAAATTCTGATCTTTATCACACTGTATACACATTAAAAATCTTAATTGTTTAATTATTAAAGCCAATATTAATGTAATACCTTGCCCTTAGTGTTGAATGTTAGACCAGTTGCTTTAATAGGCAATTATTCACTTTACCTGCAAGAGTAGTAAAGCTTTAGCAGTACTAATTAAAAGATACTTGAAAACAGGAATGCTGTGTGTTGGACTGCCATTAAAAAATAATCACAGAAAATTATGCATTGCAGATGATTTTGAGAGAATGGACATTTGTATTTCTTGTGTGTATAGTTGACATCTGTGACTCTGGTATACATTAGATTGCGCAAAACTACCTGACCAAACAATATGGTTTCTCTTTTTGTTTTGGCATTAACTTCGTTCTGTTCGAGTATGCTGTTACTATTCATATGAATTATGCTCTGTTAAAGTTTACGATGTTTGTGTGATATCCTCCAGGCCATTTATATACTTTTTTTTTCCCGTAGGTAGTGAAAGAAACATGTATGGACTAACATTAGATGGTGTTGATGTTATGGGTGAACGATTAGCAGAAGAGGTTAGTATGACTCTTAAGAAAACATGAACATCTGATTTCTGATATCCTTATTCGTTATTTAGTCCTTTGACACAACCTACTTAAATAGGTAACTGAGGTGATCAACAAATGGCCAGATCTTCGAAGGATTTCTTTTATTGCACACTCAGTTGGAGGATTAGTTGCAAGATATGCAATTGGTAGATTATACATACCTCCCGAAAGAAAATCCCTGGAGGATCCCCTGGATACTGTCTGTGATGACAGTAAAAGAGGTACTATCTGCGGTCTGCAAGCAATGAATTTCATCACAGTAGCTACACCTCATCTTGGATCTAGGGGAAACAAACAGGTAATCTTTCATATGTTTTACCTATATTATGCAAGTATTTAACTTTCATATGCTTGTAAAAATTAGCTGGATAGAGATTGTATTGGAATTTAACTGAAATGTGGCATCACAAGAGATGGTGAGGCTCAGCAGCAGATTAGACAAAACAGGTTGATTGTCAATATGGTATGGATATTTTCCTTGTGTGAAAAACGCAAGCATTGGAAGTTTTGCAAATGTTCAAGTGAAAATAGGGGGAAGGAATTAAGTCCTTTTATTGTATCTAAATCCCATTAGTTTTCTCTTAGGTGCACAAGGATTTGATTTCTTTGGAGAAACCATGGTCTGATATCGGTTTTGACGAATCGGTGTCATACTGGTATTACTGGTGATTATCAACTTGTACTGCATGGTATTATTAAGTAAAATAATAAATAATGTTTTGCTAGTGTCAAGATGTATGTTTGGATACCGGTACATAGTTGGACTGATATGGTCAAGATTTGAAATCTTACTTTAGATGTAGAACTTCATTCAGTATCCGTCTGCTATTTTGATTGACCTTTTGTATTTAAGAGTGCAAGTTTTACATTTATAGGAATAACTCTCCCTTTCTTCCAACAAATTTAATTGTTACTTGGCTGCAGAACTTCCATGCTTTAACAGTTTTCTTACTTGTGTCTTCTGAGTGAATTTCTAAACTTGTCTATCATCGCTCACAATTGGTGATCATTGTGTCCACTTTTAGGTGGCTTCATGTTGTAATGCAAATGTTTTTACTTTGAACATTTTCCTCCAAGTGTTCTCTTTGACCTAATGTATTTTGCTGGCTTGAGTAGATGTTAGATGTTAGATGTTATGCCATATGTTATTTTCATGTATCGGAAGTTGTGTTTCACGGTGGACGTCATATGTATGATATTATATGCTTTGTTTTATCACTGTATTCTAGTTTTTTACATGGGGATTATTCACAGGTCCCATTTCTTTTAGGCGTCACTGCTATTGAAAAAGTTGCATCTTGTGTTATTCACTGGATTTTTAGAAGAACTGGCAAGCATCTTTTTCTAACAGATAATGACGAAGGAAAGCCCCCATTGTTGCAACGAATGGTGGATGATTGTGATGATCTTCATTTTATGTATTTCCATCTGTCCTTGCTTTAGTTGAATTCATCAATTATGAGATGCTATTTCTGGGTAGCATGACCAGATCATAAAAAAATATGAATCCAGGTCTGCTCTGCAAGCATTCAAACGCCGAGTGGCTTATTCCAACGTTGGCTATGATCGTATCCTTTTCCTGAAATTTCTTGGTTTTGATTTTATCATTCCCACGCCTATAATTTTGGAGACATTTAATTAGTTGTCAAGTTGTTTTCCAAACTAAATGACATCAAAGACATAGTTGGCTGGAGGACATCATGCATACGACGCACTTCTGAGCTGCCTAAGGTAATGGTGTTCTGTTTACAGTTTCAATAATTTACTTATTTGTTGTTGGGTATGGTTAGATTGGTATTGAGCTTTCATATATTTTGCCCTCCAGTGGGAGGATTCTTTTAGTGAGAGATACCCACATATTGTATATGAAGAATACTCAGCAGGAAGCAGAAATGATAAGTGCCCTAGTGACTCACTTATGAATGATGACTGTGATTTGTTAGAAGGTACATATCATTCTTCCCAGTAGTTTCAGAGTAAAGTGAAATTAATTGCAATTCTCATTATGGACTGTTCTTTTTGTCTGCGGTCTTTCATTCCTGTCGATGAGGTTGTTCAATCTTTTTCTTGAATTCCTGTGTTTACTATAATGATCTGTGTGGTGATACAACTTCCTGGTGAATCCATTTCCAGTTTATATGTGTACATTTTGTCTTGAAACTCATAGCCGTTTCAGTCCTTATTTCTTCAATGTCAAATGATGCTTTACGTAGAATCTGTAGTGAGAAAAGCTTTAGAAACAAGAGTTAGTCATTGGATAAAGTGTCGAAAGGATGCAGTGCAGTAATTCAGTGTATTTGTAATGTTTAAACGTGCTGCTAAACTCTATGTTAGATGTGTAATATATTGATCAAATCATGAGCTGTACATGAAGTAATGGTTTTTAATTGAAAATGCGATCTAAAAGGAAAAGAAAAGTAGGCGTAAAGTGGCTGAATGCAGCAAAGTTGCTGACATCATATGTCACCTAAAAAGTGCTCCAATTTCAGTGTGAAAAAAAGTGCATATGTGGTGCAAATTCTTGGCAAACTAGTATTGTGTTATTTTCATGGATCGGTAGAACTATCGCAAAGATCAAGTGGTCTCCGGCACACTGGTATATTACCAGTTGTGGACCATAATATCAAACTCTGTTCATTAGTTGCGGTGTCATGCATGCATAATTGCTTGTGTTGAGTTTAAATTAAGCGACAGTATTAAGCATTGAGAACAAGTTAGTATAACCTGTTTCCGGTTGAACTATTATTTAACACCTTGAATCTGTTGTGCAGAGAAGCTGGTGACAGGCCTCACTCGTTTGTCTTGGGAGAGGGTGGATGTTAGTTTCCACAACATCAGCATCCAGAGGTTTGCTGCACACAGTGTGATTCAGGTCAGCTTTGCCACGACTTCTCCCTCCTTTTATTGATCGTCCTCTTTTTTTCGGGTATTCTTTAGCGCCTGTAATTGATCTTGTTATTCTTCTCCATGCTTGTTGGATATCTGTCAGGTTAAGGATCCCTTCATGCATTCAGAAGGTGCAGATGTTATACAACATATGATCGATCACTTTCTTTGAAAGAGCTAAAGAAATTTTTGGCCGTGCCGGACACCCATCACTCATCGGGTATCGATAAAGAGCTCCTGAATTCTCGATACAAAACTGGCTAACGAGATTAATATAGTTATATCAATCAGCCTAGAAGCTTTTCTTATCTTAATCCTGTAGTTCTCAGATCTCTTACTGTCAGCATTGGCAACTGTATAATAATAACATTGAAAGTTTCAAAACGTTACGAGATTCATTATATTTATCCCTTATATATATATATATTTGTCTTGTCATAATAATTCTCCTCATTCAACCTGACTACGAATGATCCTTTTATGTGGAGGGGAGTCGAATTCCTTTGACCTGTATTGCATAGATCATGACCAAGACATGTCAGGTTGCAAAAGATATGCAAACACGAACCAGAAACCTTTTATGATCGACATTAATTACATCATGGTAACACAGGAGTAATATACAAAAAACATCACAGCTCTCACTCTATGCAAGTGGATCATACAGCTAATCTACTAATGAACACACACACACAGACACTGGGGTAGTGCTCAGCACAAGACATCCTTGAGTAGCTTGTACCTGCGGCCGGCCGGCTTTGAAGAAGACGTACTGCTGCCACTGGAGCCCCGGCTGTCGCTGTCGTCGACTCTGCCGCTTTGCTTAACCTTGTCGCCCTTGGCGTACGCAGTACGTCTACCAGCTGCTTCGGCACTGTCTCTCCTTTCCGACTTCTTCCAAGGCAATTCATACTTGTCCCCGATCCTGCCTTCACTCAGGCACCAATCGCATACCCCTGCAGACCCCGCCGGCAGTTCATGATAGAAGTTGGTGCAGTATCTGTAGACAACGAAGTCCGAAGAAGTTAGATGTCTCCAACGTAACAGAGAGAGAGAGAGAGAGAGGAGAGAGAGAGAGAGATGCTGATAATGTACGAGTGCTGGAAGCGAGAGCGGCATCGGGAGCATCGGAAGAGTTTGTCGGGGAAGCCGATGTCGCCGCACATGGAGCAGACAGCGTGGGTGCTCGCCATGGCTATGTGGAGTAGCCTGGTATGGCTTTCAGGAGGAGAAGAGGAAGAGGAGCTGCAGAGGGAGAAGGAAGAGAACAAGGCGCATTTAAGAGGCGGTACAAGGCACAGGAGCACACGGAAATGGGACAAAGAGCAAGCGTAATGGTATTTGTCATCGTTATCCGTATACATGCATGTGCATGTGAAACGTGACCGTGGCCAACAAGAATCCACTCGGACGGACTGACTCATCCCTGAAACTTTCGAGCTTCAGGGGTGATGTCACATCTCACGACAAAGGACCACGCGAAACCGCATTAAATCATGAATTATATGTTAGGAGTAATTTAATGATCTCAACGTGCACTATATTCGATACCGATTCAATTTCGAAGCGATCGAAATGTTGCTCCATCACTCGCCTCGTACCTCATGATCGAATGGCAGATAGAGATGGTCAAGGATTACGGAGAGGTAAAGGTCAGGAGTTGCAGAAGCCATTGGTCGCCATCAACCTCGCAGTATCAGAAGCAGAGCAACAACATGGGTTGCTGCAGCTGCGGCTACCAGAAGTTGCTGGGTATGGAAGGGGCACATGCGTGCCTGGAATTACGAGGTCGGTGGGAGGCAGCCATGGGCTTTGGACTCCACCATTGAATGTCCTCCAAGGGGGAGCGTCCACCGAAGGAGATGGTTCATACGAAGGTGCGTCGTTAGATAGACCCACCGAGTGTTTGTGGTTTTGCGTCTGTCGATGGCATCTCATCTTTTTACCTTTCCATGGTCGCATACGAGAAGGAATGGATGGCCATTACGGCCTTCCTTCCCCTCTCTGTGTCCTTCCTCCTCGGCATCATCTGCACTTGGTTGGGATGCTGTTGGGGGTGGCAATAAATGGATTCTTAATGCCTTTCTTTGTCTCTCTAAAGTCAACAATTCGTGGTCCTTTTTTACTTCACTATCGTGTAACTTTCCAGTACTCATTGTCCCAAGAAAAACCTCTCCTTTTTTCACCTTTAACTCGTCCTATACACAGAACTCAGTGACACAGAGAATTTACATAGTTGATCATAACTAGCTGTGAGATGATGTTGGAGTCGTGCAGGCATCACCACAAAGTTTGGCCCGTGAAGATCTATTATTGTTGTTGTTTAGACACCTCAAATAGTTATTTTGTTCTTGTTGTACTCCACCGATAAACAAAAAAATTATTTTTAGGAATATTTTCGTAACACACATTTATATACAGTCGATAATTCGGATGTTATTTTAAACCATCAAAATAAATTTCTATGCAAAATGTTCATATTTTGCTTATCAATCTCCTTTTTCCTGTTCTTCCACCTCACAGAAGCCTTTGGCAATGGCTCGCTAACATGTTCGTAAATGCATCTTAAGCGAGCCACAGTTGATCGCTCGCTTGAACAGATGCCACACTTCGTTTGCTGTAGGTGTGCTTCATGACCATTCACATCAAGATCACAGCTTGTGCAGCTGCAGTATGTGACTGGCTAAGTGGCCACCATCACGATTCCTCTTCTTGCAAATGACATGCTTTAATGCAGTGATGAGATCAAGGGATGAGAGTTTGGCAGTGATATACCTCCCGCTTGTGGAGCTTATGGTTCAGCTGCGTCGAGCGGTAAGCAAGCATAAAGATTCAAGCTTTAGGGCTTTCCGCAGTCATAGCGTGGGTTCCCATGGCGAACTGAACTCGGAGGGGCATTTGGTGTTTGCGCAACTGGGAAATCAGTAGCAGCTTCTCGGACATCGGCGGCGGCGGCCACGGCCATGGTGTTGAGAGTTCGGACAGCGAGGGAGGGTTTCGGCGTCCAAGATGGAAACTTTATAAACGTACCAAGTAGGGTTCCGGCTCTGCTTCCGTCTCGAGGAATCGGGTTGGTATTCACGGGAACCGTCGGATGGGATCCAACGGAGGGCGTGGCAACCATCGAAGAGTCACGAGTGAGGTATGTTCACTCGGGGGTCCTCGGAGACGCCCTAATTCGCAATTCAATTTTTATCTCGTTTTGGGTTCCTCCGTGTTTCGATGACCTCCATCTTCAGATCCGCGAGCCGCATTCCTCTCGTCTCTATCCGGTCGTTCGCGGTCCAATCAAAGACTGTCGCTTCTCCAATCCGCCGCTTGTCGTCGTTCTCTAGGTGAGAATCTTTTCCTATTAACAGCGGTTTTGTGATCGGAATTTGATCGAAATATTCGATCATTTTGGTGAATTTTATTAAATTTTTTCTCTCTCCATAATATCATTTGATTTCGGCCGCACTTGTTGATTTTCTTGTGAATTCTCAATCAAGGGTTCCTGTGGAACTGGGTTGCTGGGGTGGTTCTTTCTTCCCTTTGCACAGTGCGGTGGCGGCGGCAAAATTGACTTCGCAGCTGAGCTCGGCGTCTCGGAGCGCTCGGGCTCTTTCACAGGGTTTCGTCGGCCGCGCCTGTCCGGGACCCTAGTGATGTTGTTTCTCCCATCAGGTTATCTGTAAGTAAGTTTGTTTCTCTTTATCCCCTTCGAATTATCAAGAATCATGCTTCAAGTTCGCGATCAGTGACGAACTTCTCTTTTATGTATGAGTTCTGATGAAAATATTATCGATGATCGTTTGCTTGTTGAAGTTAGCATCTGTTTTCGCTGACATGTTGGTAATTTGTGTACTCTTGGTTTGATACGGAAACTTGGAGAAAATTTTTATTTACGAAGATCATGTAGTAGAATATTACCTCCAAGAAAATAAATCCCAGCCCCCACACAACACAAGTAGCCTCCCAAGATCATCTTCGAGGAAACTTCCTAAGCTGAGCTGACTATTATTTTTAGTTAATCCATCCATCTTTCTCGTGGCAGATCCATCTACATGATGTTTCTATACCATGAGAAAGATGTGGATGATCAAATTTAAAAATCCAGTTGACTTGTCATGATGTTCTCCTTTCAGCATTGCCGACAAGAAATATCCATCCAATCATGTTTCTTTTCCTTGTTTGATTATGAAAAATTGCTGTAAATATCGGCTTAGGTAGTTAGGTTGTCTTCAGGAATTCTAGAAGTCTTAGGTGTGTTTCTAACAGCTTCGTAAGATTGAAACTTGGCTCGTGAACTATAATCCTTGAATGATGATATCAGAATGATGTGGTTCACATTCTAATGATGAAACTACAAATATGACGCACTGATCTTTGGATAACATGACATGATACCTTGATCCTTGAAGTTGACCTTTAAACCAACTTAGTTACCGCCATCTGGTATCTGGCAATGTGTTTGTAATGTAAGTGTCAAAAGTTAGATGTCATCCACGATACTTTGTTGCCACTTGTTCCATGATCCTTCCAGTGTTAGATGGAGGATCCTAAAACGCAAACAACAGTTGAATATCACTGATTCTGGAGCTGTTAACTTGCATTCGGTAGTCAAAAACCTTAGCAGACTAAACTCAGATAACTACAGAAGATTCCGGTTACCAAATTTACATCTGAAGTTCACTGAACAGCTATGAATTTCTGCAATTATTAATTTTGGTTTCATTGTTGATGAAGTGTTTACGGCTATTACTTTGTGAAAATTCACAGGATTTGTTCTCATATATGATATCAATAGTCAATTTAACTAAATAGCCAACCTATGTTAGAAAACAAGTACATATTCCTCAACAGAGAGAATGATGGTCTCCCACAAACATGCGAGGACCCCCCACACACATGGGCTCCATCATTAGGTGCCCGAGAATTGACATCACTCTCAACAGTTTTCAGTGCTGATTGAGCTTAAATACCACAGTCCAACAGAGAGAATGATGGTCGAACATTTATTGATTTTCTATTTTAGAAGGCAAATGTTTAGATATTGCTATGCTTTCATGGTCCATTTTGAAAGGCAATCATCTCAAAACTTTCATCATTGCATCACAATTATACAAAACAGCTCAATGATTGTTGAAATCGTGACTCTTCAGTTTTCAAGTACGCATCTGCTAGATGACCGATCAATGAAATAAAATATCACCTGATAGATTCACATGATTAAGATTATTTTCCTGGAGATCCATGTAAATTTCACTTGTGAGTTCACATGCATATTCTCATGTAATGCACAGGTTGACTAGTTGTGGAGCAAATGCTGACTGGTAGATGGCTTGATTTGATACATCAATGTGCCATATGATGTTTGGACTAGTTGGTTTCATTCTAAGCTGAAATCCCACTAATAATCTTGGTTGTTATGTGGTGCCCTCCATAATACCAATCCCTCTGCATGTGGCAGATCAAACTAGATGTGCCAGAGATGGGTGTTGACAAAATACTTTGTTTTGTGCCTCTCTCTTCTATTAACTTGTAGGGCATCTATGGAGTAGAAAATAAAATTATCCTCTTCTTAAGTTATTGTTTACATAAAAATTTATTTGAGTAGATACAGTGCAAAGAGAATTATGGCTGCATGCTTTAAAAAATTGATGTTTTCCAGACGAGAACAATGGAGCGTGAAAGATTTGGTACCATCCTGTATCTCCAAGGATGATTCACCCATGATGCAAAATTTGTGGTTTACGGAAGGATGGCTCATCTTCTGAGACGGTGAAGTTGATCTCACTGCAGTGTTTTTACCTGTTATTGGATTGATGAAATTTGTACAAGTTCACTTCTGATCATACGAACTAAGCGTATCTTTCGACACTGTTCTTGTGCTGACTCGCAGACATTATCTACTTTGTGGTAACAGGTGCGCCTTAAAAGTCAATGTTCGTGTTAATTTTGACTTGCGTATGATTTCCATCTTATTAACAGGGAAACAGAGGTAGTTCGTGCCAATAAGCCATGGAAGACCAATTAACACAGATCTAAGTCTTTTTACTGGAGCTATTTTAGCACCTCATTATCCGATGTATCTTAATTCAGAGCCAACCTTTATCCTTTTCCAAAACCTGTAGCATCAAAAAAAATATTTGGGTTCTATAAGAAGTCTTAAAACAATTAAGATTAATTATATATTATCCCTCTTAGTTTTTTTTTTATATCCTGATTTTTATATTTTTAAAAATTATATTAATTTTTTATACTTACGAAAGTAAAATATTTAATTTTGTTTCTATTCACATTATTAATTTTATTGATAAAAATACATATGTGATAATATGTTTAGAAAATAGTACTAAAATAAAATTAATAAGATAATTTTGTAGTATATTTCATCGATATTAATTTTTTTCGATTCCCTTTACAAAACATTCGAAAATACAAAGGGATGTACAATTGAATAGTATTATCTTATTTTATTTCTCAATAAAATAGATAATAATAAATTATAAAATTATCTTTTTAATTTTACGTGTAGCGCATGTCATATTTTCGTTGACAAGACGAGGATAAACGAGATTAAATATTTTACTTCTTTTAGCATAGAAGATAAATAGGATTAAATATTTTACTTTCGAGATTTTAATATAATTTTTAAAAAATAAATAAAAAAAATAAAGATAACTAACTACAGAGATTATATTAATTAGCCCAAAAAATTACTACTTAATCCCCAATAGATTTCGAGGCCACCGCTGTGACGGTGCCAAAGCCATTTGACTCGATCTTGGCCGTCGAATTCTCTGGGCATCACTATCCACCCCTCCGCGTGAAACAACCGAGTTCTGGCCGTAAGCCTTCCTCTCTTCATCAGAAAAAGAAATAATAATAATAACGAGAAAAATTATAAAGAACACATTTTTTTATTCCTTTTTGCTGATAAAGAGCACGTATTCCTCGAATCGGCGGAGGGAACCGAAAACCCAGCCTGCGGTCGCCCAAATAGGATCTAACGAAAGGTCGGGCAATTGGATCAGGTGAACCTCTTCCTTGTTTTCTTCGATTCTGTTATTTTTCTTGCTTGCAATCCGTGCTTGCTGCTACTCTTGCATCGGATTCCATGGTTTCTTCTTTGTACATGAGAAATATTAGGGTTTTAGGTTATTCTGAAAGCATTTTTTTATTACAAAGATTAACCATAGTAAGCAACTCAAAATCAAAAGAAAGAAAAAGAGAGGATAAGAAATGGGGACATCTTGGAGATTGTTGGTTTTGGGGCTTACATTTGGATTTAGCGAAATTTCGATGTGATTACTCTAGTGGATCCCGACGATTCGTTTCGACCTAATTCTTGATAAAAAGGGGAATTCGGAGGGCCTGGCTTTGAGGCTAGTGATTCGATAAGATGGATTGATGGCAGGGGAAGAAACCTAATGATGATGTTGGTCGTGTTGGCCAGCAAATGTAAACTTACAACTTAATTATGATGAATATTGCACGCATGTCTTGTGAATCATCCTCTTTCTTTAAACTGAGAACGCGCAACTTTTTTTTATAGTTTTATTGGTTGAAATGCAATAATAGACTTAATAGCTGATGCAATGTCATATCTTCTCTGTCGGCTTCCTCTCTCTGTAAACTCTCTTTAGAATTTGGAATGTTACGCACCCTTGAGGTGTTTGAGAAATTATCCTTCTTATTATCATACAAGAATCATTGGTTAGAGCAGGACGTTTTCAATTTTTGTTGTGATTAAACTGTTAAAGAATCGTCTTAGTCTATGCTCTGTTTGTCTTCATAAATGAGTTTAGCCAAACCATTATTATTCTGGTTTTGGATGGAAAAATTTTACAGTCATAAGGACCACGAGGATCTCTGGTAGGACCTCCAACAAATTGATCACAGAGGGAAAATCTAAAGCTAGCTTTTGTTGATTTTTTTCTTACAACAACAACAGTAAAATCGTAAGTCCCAACTATTTGAGATCAAGTACATGGATATTTTGTCGTCGTAGAAATCGTTAAAAAATCATATGTTTAATTAAGTTCAAAACTTTTTACATATGTGAAAAGCCATATTTTTTACTTGTGACTTTTTTTCGCACAGGTAGCATAAATTTAGCTACAAACTGGTCATGTGTAGCATAGTTTGAACACCATTGAGCAACTACAATAGCTCACTATATCTTTTTCTCACAGTTCTAGTTGGTTCAGCGTAATTCGTCCTCTCGGATTGAATAATCTTTTCATGCATTTTCTTGAATTTTTTGAGGAAGTTTGTTATTGCAAATTTCATGACAATATTCTACTGGCTTCTATTTTTAAGTTACGTAATCTGTTATTGCATTATAAGAATAATCTGATAATACAAGAAACTACAGGAATGAGTTTTGGGTAACAGTTATATCTTGCTTCTTGGAACAAATAATGTTCCTCTACTCATCTAACGAATGAAAGGTTGATTACCAATTACCAGCATGCTGAAATCCTACTAGAACTTTGTGGCAAGCAGACAACAACCATATGATGGCCTCTTTATCTTGGTCTCCACTATGTGTGAAGAGGAAGGCAATTCTTGATATCCAAGCTTGTAATTGGAGACTACCCAAGTTGTCAAGGCAACTGCAGAGTCCAATCTTCCACAGAAAAGGGCTAAAAAATCTGTCCTTGTGTCGGAGCAACCTCTTTCCTTGGGAAGCTGAGACTCCTCCATATGCTACTACCGATGATGGTGATGCTATCATCAAAGGAAGCAATATTGTCGAAGCCATTGATGCAGAAGATAAATCAGGTATTCCTATATTTCAGGGTGAAGAAGATGTCATTGATATGAAGAATCAGCCACCTTCGCTGCACCAGCCTCTCAAGTGGCCAATGTGGCTTTTGGGGCCTTCGGTTCTTCTAGTTACAGGCATGGTGCCCACGCTATGGTTGCCTCTGTCCTCTGTATTCCTCGGCCCCAATATTGCCGGTCTTCTTTCTTTAGTCGGACTCGACTGTCTCTTTAACATGGGTGCAACCTTATTTCTTCTAATGGCTGATTCCTGCGGACGACCGCCAAGAAGCTCCATCCAACAGAATAGTCAAGTGCCACTTGGCTACAGACTCTGGAACCTGGGAGCGAGCGTGTTGGGATTTCTTGTTCCTTTGGTGCTACTCTTTGCGTCTCAGAGAGGATCGCTTGAGCCACATCTACCATTCATCTCATTTGCTGTAGTGCTCGGCCCCTACCTTCTGCTGCTCTCCATACAGATGTTGACGGAGATGCTGACATGGCATTGGAGGTCGCCAGTGTGGCTGGTGACACCCGTGGTGTATGAAGCTTATAGGGTGTTGCAGCTGATGAGGGGGCTCAAGCTGGCTGGTGAGATCGGTGCACCTGCATGGATGATGGAAAGCGTTCGGGGGTTGGTTTCATGGTGGGTGCTGATACTTGGGATTCAGCTGATGAGGGTTGCTTGGTTTGCAGGATTTGCCTCTCAGAATCATCAGTAATCCTCAGTTCAGCAAGTGGCACAGACCTACAAGTGTAGTAGTACGATTCGATGTAATTCTCCAGCAAAAACATTGTAGAAATCTGTAAACACTGTAAAGTGCAGCAATGGTCATTTCTCAAGGACCAAATATGTTACACTGTAAACAACCTTTTGTGCAACTTAGTCTCTCCTTTGTTGATTATAGCAGTAGAAACGATATATTTGTATGTAATAAAGAGATCAAAATGTTATATTTTTGTATGTAATAAAAGATTGAAATTGTATACTACTGTTATTGTTTAGGGTGCATACATACATGTCCTTATATGTTTCGACAAACTTCCTCATCATTCTCGTTATAACTATAATTCCATAAAAATTTCTTGACCCAACTATACTTACGTACCATAGAAGAGATTAAAATATAAAAAGACTTTAGGGTTTCTCTTCATGATATTTAAATGATTATGATTTTAATGGTTCTTCATCGATTTTTTTAATTATAAAAACACATAAATATAGACTATTCTGATTTTATTTTGATTACAGCATCCTACACTAAAAAAACATTTAAAATTGTAATATTTTATGATTATGTTTACTAGTAGTTAAGTTGAATTTATTGGACGCATGATAACGAAAGCAAAATATTTAAAATTTTAAATATTATACATATAATATTAAATTTAAAGAAAAAAATATATATTTATGGACTTTGAGAATATACATATATATATATATATACATACATATACATATGTACGTACGAGTTCAACGATGACATACGTAGATTTCTTAGTATACATATCAATGAAACGAGGACAAGAAGCTGTAAGGCGAAGGAGTTCACGTGTTCCCTTCGATAACTGCACCATCACGCATTTTACAGTGAATCTGGGAATAAAAGACAGCACTCCCATGGATTACCACCAGCATGGTTTCCTTCAGATTAATGGTCTTGGCTGCATCTGCAAACACTCAAATCAAGAAGCATCAAAGCCTCATGCACGAGGGTTAGCTCTGTGGTCAAGAAGCGCTTTCAACCCAAGCTCTTGACGAGAACTCCTCTTCATGTGTACATGATTCAGGCATCTGTCACACAGACACAGAGAAGAGAGAGAGAGAGACACAGCAACTCATCCGGAGAGCATACTCACGGATCGATCAGAATCACCTTCTTCTGACATGCACTTCTCCCAATGCCATCCATCGGGTTCGCTTTGCAGCAATGCAACAGGTTTATTTCCGGGAACTCGCCAAAGAATACTCGAAAGCTCCTTCACGAGACTGGTCTTAGCTCACTACAAATCCACCAGTCGTCCTTCGGCTCCATTCACAGTTCCAATGGCCACCAAAGCTCTGATACGATTCCTCTTCGTCGCCGCCGTCCTCGGTTCGACCGCATCGGCCTGCGGCACCTGCACTCACCCGACGTTCCCTCGCCCACCCTCCTCCAAGAGACCACCGAAGCACCTGCCACCCTACACCAACCCTCCCGTGGTCGGGCCGCCAGCCGAAGGCGGCGGTGCTCCTCCGGGAACCTCGCCGCCGGCCACGTGCTCGCTGGATATTCTGAAGCTGGGCCTGTGTCTCGACGTGCTGGGGGGGCTGGTGCACGTCGGCCTCGGAAAGCCGGCGGAGAACGTGTGCTGCCCTGTGTTGCAGGGCCTGCTGGAGCTGGAGGCGGCGACGTGTCTTTGCACCGCCATCAAACTGAGGCTGCTCGACCTCGATATCTACATCCCCTTGGCGCTGCAGGTGCTCATCACCTGCGGCAAGGATCCAGCTCCCGGGTACCTCTGCCCTCTTAGCTAGATCTGCGATGGAAGTTGGTGCTTAGGTTTCTGCTGCTAGGATTTGGGACTGATGGCAACATTGCTTAGGGTTTTAGGGGTTCGGATTAGGTTTCTTGCGTCTTCGCTTTGATCATGCGGAGTGATGAATGTAATTAATCTCTCATATATTTTCCCGCATTGTGGTCTTATCTTGTTGACTTCTCATTAGTTTTACGTGGTCTCAACATTATCCTATTAGTACAGATTAACCAGCAATCTATCCTTGGAAGTTTAGATGCTTTCAAGAACTGGATTTGGGATCTCATTTACTGAGACATATGCACTGTTTTGGAACATACACATGTCCGAATACACAAAACAGAGTATCCATTTTATACACGTGAATATATTATCTTGACATGCACTTATATGGCAACCAACAAGCCCACATTATACTGTAACATTCACATGGAAGACCAGAAAACGAAGACCATTAATAGGAACTACTGCTGAGGTCTCAGATCATTGCTTCAGCCATTCACTATAGTGCCGCCTGCATGCATCAACAGAGACGTCAAAGAACCACCAAGTAATCGAGCTCAAAGAGTGAGATCGATGGCGAGGGAAGACTGTACGTACCGTTAGGATGGATGACTTGCCCAGTGATGTAAGATGAGTCTGGCGTCGATGCAAGGAAGACGTAGGACGGCGCAATCTCGTAGGGTTGCCCGGCTCTGCCCATCGGCACCTCCTTCCCAAAGTTGGCCACCGCCTCCTCCGGGAAGGAAGCCGGTATCAGCGGCGTCCACACCGGCCCCGGTGCCACTCCGTTCACGCGAATCCCCTTGTCCGCCAGTTGCAGCGCCAGCGCTCTGGTGAAGGCGACGATTGCCCCCTTCGTCGACGTGTAGTCCAGCAGCGTTTTATGGCCCTTGTAGGCGTTGACGGACGTCGTGTTGATGATGCAGCCTCCTGCCTTCATTTGCTTCACCACAAACCTTCGTCAAAAGATTAAACTGTCGATTAGCAAATAGGAGTGGGAGAGAATGGAAGCCATCGTTTCTAAGGCAAGTCTCTTACTTGGAAACGTGCATATAAGAGAAGATGTTCGTCCTGAAGACCCTCTCGAGCTGCTCCTCGGTGATGTCAGTGATGCAGGACCGCTCGTACTGCTCGGCCGCATTGTTGACCAAGATATCGATACGCCCATACGCGTTGACCACTTCCTCGACGACCTTCCTGCAGTTCTCCTCGTACCCGAGTTCGGCTGGGATCGCAATGGGATCCTTGGCGTCGTGCTTCTTGATCTGCCTCAGCATCTGGAGGGTGTCATTTGCATCTTTGAATTCCTGAGACTTGACATATGTGAACGCCACGGTCGCGCCCTCCTGTGCGAAGCAGTAGCACACCGCCCGCCCGATGCCAGAGTCGCCTCCGGTGACAAGCGCTACCTTCCCCTGCACATGAGATTACACCGATGAACCCATCAGAGCCAGTCTTGATTAGGCCGACTTAAAACAGAGGCACAAGAGAGAGAGAGAGAGAGAGAGAGAGAGAGAGCCTGAAGCTTGTTTGCGGGCTTATATTCGTCACTGATGGGTTGAGGCGTGGGTTCCATGATATGCTCCTTGCCGGGTTGGAGCTCTTGGGTCTGAGGAGGCAAGTGCTGACCTCCTGAGGCCATGGTCGTAGAAGAAGCAAGAAGCCCACGAGGACAGCGTGCAGAAGAGGCGACGGGAGCCCCGGCTATGAGAGCTCACAACACAGGAGAGACGATGACCTGAGAATGCCGCGAGGGCGACGTGAAGTGGGTTATAAGGCGAGGGAGGGAGAGGGGACGATTGCCGCGTATGGCGCGTACGTGGCGTGAAGTTTGGTCTACGTGGCGATCTTCTCATGGCGCATGTGACGCACGTGTCGGGCATGGCTGGAATGACGTCGTGGGATGGCGTTATGGATCAACGTCGAGTGCAAGTCAAGTCAAAACGAGCAGAATGTTGACTTGTGCTGATCAAATCAATTGAATTCTGACCAATTTAAGCTAAAATATTTGCTATGTTTAGTGTCATTAGACATAATCAAAATAAACAGCCTTGTTATATTATTTATATATAACATAAATCACATGCACAACCTAAATTTATTTTGCATATAATTTATATATAGTTTCATAATATAAATATTTCTGTGACAAAAGAGTACCACAATCCAAATCCAAAATGAATGGCATTGCATAGTTTAGCTATATTTGGAACACAATCCAAATCCCATAGCATGTAGGATTCAAATCTAATTGGATGCAAATAGAGTCTCAAAGGCCAAAAGAAGTTTATTGCCTACATGAATCCAAGTCCAATATAAACTTAAAAGGAGGCCCAAATCATATTGGTCACCCATAAATGTCATAAAATTGACCTATAAATGATCAACCTCGATCTGACATTAATAATAGATATGGACAAAGATATGATATTGAATGCTGACATCAAATGCTTTATCTTGTGATCAATGATGATTTGGCCAAGAGAGTGGACCATTTAAGTGATTTCACAGCCACAAATATATAACAAATATAGATATTTAGGGAAATACAAATTTAGCCTGAAATATAGTCATTCAAGAAGAAATTAAAAAAACATTTTATTTAATTATATAATTTTTTTCTACATCACAATCAAATATCTGCTTTTATTATGCATCAAAATAAAGTCTAAAAACTATTGGATCTCTCTGCCCAAAGCACTCCTACCAGACAACTCTAACATGGAGGAACTATTTCTACCCTTAGCTCATATTCAAATTTGGGGAGTACTTTAACTCCATCAATTGTACATTAAGAGACAGGATTAATGCCTCTTTTTCACCATAATATAACCATTTTCCTTCTTGATCCATCATTAATCCAAATTTAACCCTCTTAATTGTACATTAAAAAAATAGGACTGTTTCACCAATTAATATTTAAAGAATAGTAGTGGGTGACACTTCCCATACAAGCATGCCAAGTCCTACCTGAACCCTTTGGGTCAATCCATCTCCAATCTGATCACTAGTCAAATAAAGTTTAATTGTTCATGTCATGGGATTGGTTGGGTCAAACAAATCTACTTTACCACTTGAACTTGGATTTAGTGGTCATCATGATGGCCTACTGTGTTGAAGTCTATATTGCTTGATCAAAATAGTGGTTTTAGAGATACTCATAAATTGGCTGAGACTATCATCAGATCACATAGGAATAATCATATGAAATAATAATAACAACTAATAACCTGAAAGATAAATGAAACTTGGAAATATAAGGCCATCCAATAAGAAAATTGTGGGACAGTGACATCTGCCTTCTCTTTGGGAAAAGACAGTCTTTTCCCTTGACCAATCTGACAGCTAAGTTGCTTTCAAAAGTCATCATCTTTGTGAGCATCTAATATGGCATGGATGAGTGTTCTGCATTATTGAATTCACAAGGGAAGAACTTATGGACCACTTGTGTGACTCACACCAGCTACCTGCTCATGCTATGCATGAGTTCTATAACTATGATGCAGATAATAGATAATAAGCTTTTTTTGTAGATTAGAATCTAATGTTAGTTTGTCATTGACCCTTGAAATGCACTATTTGTATTTGACAAAGTTTTAATCTCATAACACTACTTCTTTAATTTGTGTACACAAGATATATTTTCATGTCTTCTTCCTCCCATGACCCACAGAGATGTCATATTCCATGCCTTCTTGGTGGGCCAAGAAGAGAAGAAACCAGTTTGCCACAAGGATGAGTGGAAGGCAGCTCCCAGCTACCCTCTTCCCAGCTAATCACTACATTATCAACTCAACTCTTCTTGGAAGCAGAATCTGAGTCACTTCATGTGGACTGAATTGTGTCATTTCTGTTCCCTGCCATGAGCAGAGGGGGGGAGTAAAGGGCATAGGAGGCTTAGAGGTACCCTTGTGTCGTTTTTTAATGGGTGAGCCCATGTGAGGAGGACTCCTGTCCCTCTGCCCCTGTCCTTAATTTTCCTTTTATTTCTTTTGGGTAGTCTTGAGTCCTTTATCTTATACCTTTTTCATTGCCACACCAACTCAGTAAGTTGTGAGGGGATGTCTCATGTTTCTCCTTCCCTTCTCCCACAGTAGGCCTCTTGAGGAGGTAAGAAAGGTAGGCTTGTACTTGATGTGATCTGCTATAGTTCAGGGTTGGAGTAGTTGGTTTAAGAGCTTTTCAATCAACAGTTTGATGTGTTTAGAAATACATGTGATTTTTCCAGTTGATTCTTGCTGTGTTATGTGTTTGTCCCCTCTTCTCTTTCCTGCTGCTGCTGTTGCTCCATTTCCATTGTGGAAAGCCTCAGGCTGCTTTTGCTTTGGATTCCACTGCTTTTTGGTTGGATGTCTGTGCTTGCTGGGTTTATTTGTTTTCTCATTTCAGATTTTACTGGTGTTCTTCGCTTGGTGATGATGCATTTGTGAGCTTGGTGCTCTTCAGATCCATTTGTTTTCTTTTCACCAAGATGTCACCTTCATGCATCTTTTGTCCTCTAGTTTATTTGTGTCAGGCTCAGGCTCTTGATGGATTTCTTCTCAGAACCTTCTTTTGCGCAGATTATTTTCTTCATGTTTTCATCAATAATTGTATGCATCCGCTTTACTTCAGTATTATTGGCCTGTCTTCGAGCCTGGTATTTTGGCATGACTTATTTAGCTCCTGCTTGCCTCTTCGCAGGATCGCTAAGACTGCCCCAAGAACAAACTGCAAAGAAGAGAAGCCACTGACAAGTTTGTGCTGGTATGTGTTCTTGAATGTATGGCTAATTTTTCTTCTGCTTCATCACCACTATCTATGTTTCGTTTCTGAATGAAGCTACCTACTATGCTATTGATGGTTCTCAGGCTTTGTCTTTTTCCCTCTCTGTTCCAGTTGGTGCATTGATCTTAAGATTTAGCCTTTGCTTGTTTGAAGTCTGAAGGCTCTACGTGTAAAATATGCAGGTCTAATGGCCAAAGACAATGTTGGATCTCCCAAGATCCATCAGTTAGATTTGAAGAGGTGGCGGTTAACGCATCTCTTAGCTGTAATTGGCCTCTGCGTTCTGTTTTACATCCTCGGGGCTTGGCAGAACAAGACTACCCCATCACTCACTGCCGACTCCGGTCTCACCACTAAAGTTGGATGTGAATCTGTTCTCCCGAAATCCAATGCCTCAGCATCCTTGCCATCAGATGCAACTCTCGATTTCGATGCTCACCACCAGCAGAGCGTGGATGAAAGGTCCATGGTGATCGAGAAATTCCCACCTTGTGATCTTAATTTTAGCGAGTACACACCTTGCCAAGATCGCGCCAGGGGGAGGAGGTTCGCGAGAGCAATGCTGGTGTACCGAGAGCGACACTGTCCCGAAAAAGATGACACCATACGGTGCCTAATTCCTGCCCCACCGAAGTATAAAACACCTTTTAAGTGGCCTCAAAGCAGGGACTATGCTTGGTTCGATAACATTCCTCATAGGGAACTCAGCATTGAGAAGGCTGTCCAGAACTGGATCCAGGTAGAAGGCAACCGGTTCAGATTCCCTGGCGGTGGGACAATGTTCCCACGAGGTGCTGATGCTTATATTGATGATATAAATGATCTGATTTCATTAACCGATGGTAACATCAGGACTGCGATCGACACAGGCTGTGGAGTAAGCCATTCATCATCTCAATTGAGGTTTGGATATTTTTGCATTTGAAGCAATCTAATTTCTGAGATGTGTAATTTTGTTTGCGTATTGTAGGTTGCCAGTTGGGGTGCTTATCTGCTGAAGAGGGATATTGTAACTATGTCGTTCGCACCGAGAGACACACACGAGGCTCAGGTGCAGTTTGCTTTGGAGCGAGGAGTTCCAGCCATGATTGGAGTGATGGCAACACAGCGGTTGCCATATCCAGCTAGAGCTTTTGACATGGCTCATTGTTCTCGTTGTCTGATTCCTTGGCAAGCTTATGGTAATTTATCTTATTACCAAACTCTTACTTCTATATGTGCTAATGTCTTACTCCTAACAAATCGATATTTATGGATTCGCAACTTTCAACTGCTTCAGTTATTTGTTTCCTTTATCTTCTAAAGAAGAAAATTTGAACCAATGCAATATTTAGTTTTATGGTCTAATCTCTACGGAGTACTTACTGATAGCTTTCTGCTTTGCAACTTTAGCATGAGTCGGTGAGAAAATTTTTTGACATGTCCATGGGTATTTTTGTACCAGATGGGTTGTATCTAATTGAAGTTGATCGAGTTCTAAGACCAGGAGGTTATTGGATTCTGTCTGGTCCTCCAATTCACTGGAAGAAGCACTTTCGAGGTTGGGAAAGAACTCAGGAAGATCTGAAAAAAGAGCAAGATTCAATAGAGGAAGTTGCTAAGCGTCTATGTTGGAAGAAATTAATCGAGAAGGACGATCTAGCAATTTGGCAGAAGCCCATCAACCATGTAGAATGCATTGAAAGTCGAAGGATCTACAAGACACCTCACATTTGCAAGAATGACAATGCTGATGCTGCCTGGTATGACCATACTAGTAAATTACCAAAGAAACCTCAAATACTTCATAAATGGATCGAAAACTTCATCTTTTTCAAACAACTATAACTTCATGTCCTTGAACTACTCGTCGTATTTTTCAGGTACAAAAAAATGAAGACTTGTATAACCCCATTACCAGAAGTGAGCAGTCAGGATGAAGTTGCAGGTGGTGAACTCAAGAAATGGCCTGAGAG